CGGCGAAAATGAAGTGCCCTCCCCTGCAGCGGTCATCCGATTCCATACTGCCTCGCGTGCCTCTAGTTATCAGCAGTCTTACGTCTTCTCAGTGGCCCGCCCAGCCCCGAGAACCAAGATAGCCATCGCTTGAGTATATTAAATGCTGTAGGTAATGAGCCTACTGACGTCTTACGAACCGTACTGAGTACACAAACCCCCACGCCGGCCGGGCTCTGCAACTGACAGTGGAGCAGAGGTCCTGAAAGACAAAGACGGTACCTACCCATACTACGCCTATTGATCTTGCTAAATGTCCGGCGAGGATGCGTGAATGAGATTCGCCGGGGCACACCACAGCAAGCAGACATACCTGACCTGCGCCGCTACCTGAAGCTACTGTACTCTATGATGCAGATATGCGCCGAACAACACACCCATTCGCGTGTTTGTTCCATCCAGAAATAAACACACATTCAAGAGCTCTGGCGTCAGCGTCATGTCATTGGTGGCTGTCTCACATGTGCCTTTCAGGAAGGCATTCATATCCCCAGCTGTGGTGTGGTTTTGGGCGAGCGTGATGCCGTCCATGGAGACATGCTGCTTTATCTCTAGATTGTCCTAAAAACGGACTGCCAAACCACCAAGGTGTGATAGGTGGCCGGTGCTTTGATCTCGATTCCTTCGAGGAAGGGCTCCAGTGGGTTAATACGAGGGGTAAGCAGGGCAGGAAAGATAGGTTTGGATCGGTAAAGTACGGTACTATGATAGCCAGGTATCAGTTTGTAACAGGAATTTTTATGATAGCGGCTATGTTAATGGGGCCAAGGAAGGCGAAATTGTCGGAGATATGCGGCAACGCCTACTGTCCAGACCATCGCTCGTGCGCCAGAGATTGGGGGCAGAGGAGTTTAGCCCGGTTCACATACGGTCTTGCTCGCAGTGTAATTTGAGAACAACTGGAAGTTTCTCCATCGTGCCGCATTATGCCCTTGTTGGTCAGAAAGCAGACTAGACGGCTGGTCCGACTGGGGACAAAGTCAACGACTCAGCTAGCAACGGCTCTGCTTTGCCAAGTCCTGCGCTAAGAAAGGTCGCTTGATACGTCTCGACGTTGGAGGAATTCATGGATCGTCCACCGTCGGCCAGCCTTTGCCTGTTCCTCACGACGGCTTCTCCCTACTTGACGCCGCCGACGTGTATCGACGATGTCAGTTCTGAGCGGACACAGCCCAGAGCTAACCCCATGCAGATTGATTCGGGAAGGGCTCAGTCAACGTCTGTTTCGTCTTGCATTCTGCCGCAATTTGACAGATTCACAAATCATTAGACAGGCAGAGAAAACATGAGCTGCTATGAAGAGCCGTGAATGGGCAGATGAACACCACCTGGACTGGCCGAGGGTTCGCCCCCCCGCTCAGAACGATGTCCTGCTTTCCGGGCCTGAGCCAATGAGGGGCACTCCATTCCATCCTCCCGCGCCAGCGCTGCAAGTCAAAACCGCAAGGTAGCTGGATAAGTCGAGAAGAATCTCTCGTCTCAAGTGTAACCCATGCTGCGCAGCGCAGCGCATTCCCATCCTGGTAGCGGTGCAGTAGTAGTCGCAGCAGAGACAGCAGCAGCGTCCCTCCTCCTCCTACTACCTCCTCCGACTCGTTGTCTGGTCCATCATCATCTCAGTGTCGCGGTCGCTCGCGCAATGGCAGGCCTGAATCGAACCGCAACCTCTCCCCTGCTCGACCCCTGTACCCAGCCCGGCCTAATCCCCTAGTGGTGAAGTCGCAGAACCCACTTGGCTTTTACTAAGTGCATGTATCCCCGTACCTGACCTTACAATACAGGGTAGGTTAGCGCCGCTCTCTGGCATCGGTCGCCTCCCCCCTCTTCGTACCTACCTCACCTTACTCTGTCTCTCAATCTAGCCTGCCCGTACTTGCCTCCAATGCAACACTGGTAGCTACTTCCCACTCTCACTCTTATACCTGATTGTGTATTTGCCTTGCCCTGCCATTTGCCTTGCCTCGCCCGGTCCCCCTTCCTTTACGGCCCTCCACTCTGCTCCTGGTACGTACTCCCCTTCCTAGATACCCGTGTACTTGCCTGCGATTGCCCTGCAACCCAATGGCCCAATGGCTCGCTCTTACCTAGGAAGGAACAAGGGTGATTTTACACTAGGATACATGTACATGTATCCATTCTCCTGCTGCTGTGGTAGAAGCACGCTTCTAGAGCGGGTCCCTTGTTCTGCAGGGGCCCCTGGTCCCGCCAGTCCATCGTCGAACGCTCTTGACCTCTCGCAACTCAGCATCCACGGCCAGTTCCCGCTGATCTTCTTCTTGTCTGCTCCGCCTGCTGCTGGCTCAGTCTCTCTCTCTTTCTCTCGACTCACCTGGGTGTTCGAAGGGACGGATGAGGGGCCTTGCAAGCAGGTCTCTCAGTGAGAAAAGCGCAGGTCGCCGGCTCGTGTCCTTCAGTCGTGCTGTTCTGTACCGTGCAGGTGCGATCCATTGCTGGGTCCAGGTCCTTCCTTGATCCATCGTTCCCCTTGTTCTCCTCGTCGTTCTCTCTCTCTCCCTCTCTCTCCTCTCTCGGTCCGGCTTCAGCCAGAGGAACCTTGCAGTTTGGCATCGCTATCTGAAGTGGCCGTCTCCTCCTACACGGATATTCTGGCACTGGCGCTGGGACCCTTGTCACCACCCCTCCATCCCTCCATCCGTCCTCGCCGTCACGCTCACTCCCGCTGTCTGCGCTGTGTTTCGATTCCCCTTCCTAGCCTTTTCTTCATGCTCCTGTGCCTGGTCGTCACTCTGTGTGATGAAGACCAGGGCACATGATTAGAAGGGGTGCGTGTGCATCTGGGTAAGTGTGCTATGTTCATCTATCCATCCATGCTGGTGAGATGGAGAGACAGTCGTGTGTGCGTGTGCGAGTGCGAGTATGTATGTGATGTGTGTGTGCGCGCGCATCTAGTTTAGTCTCTCCAGTCTACCTAACCTACTCTATCAGCGTCTCCTTCGATTCTCACCCGTGTCTTCTCTCATCTTCGTTCGATCCATCCCCATGATCTCCCCATCCATGAAAACTGGGCCGAGCGGCCATGTCGCGGTACATCGCGTCGCACCGTCTTTGCTACCGTCCCAAAAGTCGCAGATTGTCCCACCCCGTCCACTCCTCCTTCTCCTCCACTTACAACAGCCCCCCCCCGTCACTAGGTTGTCCTGTCTCTGGCTCCTCAACCCACCTGGCATCTCTCTCGTTCACGCTTAGGGTGCGCTTCGCCTCCCCGTCCGCAACCCCCCCTGGCCGATAAGTGAAGTACCTCCTTGTACCTCGTCCTCCTCCTCCTCGACGACCCTGTTCCCTCCTCGATGCACTCTGCTCGCTGCGAAGAGAACGTAGTGTAGGCATGCTCATTTGGCATCCAAGCTGCTTTATTAAACCTCTACCACTCGTGCCCTCGTTCCCATCCACATCCCAAGTGTCGCCATCTGCCTTCCCTTTTCCAGGTCTGCTCTCACGGCCAAACTATGGGCATCACCTTTCCCATATTAAACCCCATTTACCCACACCAGTCAACTCTCGCCGTTGCAGGCAAGACCGTGTCTTGGATCGTTCGCCGCGCCTCTGCCGTCTGATCTTCCTCCCTTTATGACCTTTCTAGAAACTCTCTCTGCATCTATACTGCTACGTCTACGTCTACGTACATACATTCCCCCGCCTTAACCCTATAGCTCCCCCAGCAGCCGCTTAACAAACATGACCGTCCCGCTACCCACGCCCTCGAACCCCTCAAAGGGTGCTGATGCCGCTGCTGCTGTGCGCAAGCGGAGGAGACGTGCTCCAGCTGGCGGTGCTGCCGATGATTGCTTCACTTGCACCAAGAGGAATGTCAAGTGCGACCGCAGGAGACCGTACTGTTCGCAGTGTCTTGAGGTTGGCAACGAGTGCTCTGGTTACAAGACCCAATTGACATGGGGTGTTGGTGTGGCGAGTCGAGGAAAGCTTCGTGGGTTGTCACTGCCCATAGCAAAGGCACCGCCTGTGAATCCCATTAAGAAATCACCGTCCCGATCTCGAGCGAGCTCGACGACCACTGGAGGCCAATGGACCGATCCGGATGGAACATCTCCTCGAAATGGCCGAGATGATATCGATCTCCCTCACGAACCACCTTCTTCCCTCCCCACCACCCCTTTCCATGGTTACGACCTGTCTCAATTATCTCAGGCCGAGTCGATGCCGTCAGTATCTTCAGGATCTTGGGGTGGTATTCCTTTCTCGACAAGTCTGCCAGCAGATGCCCACAGGTTTTCAAAGCTGCCGCATCTAGCACCGGGTGCCGATGCTCTCTCTTCTTCTATCGACTCGTTGAGCGATGTTGACTACATGTCTCCATTAAGCCATTCGTTTTCCAGGGAAGACATGCCGTTCGTGAGCAGTCCGACCATCATGTATGAGACTTTCACTGGCCACAACTCGCCGATTCCTCAGAGCCCAGTGTCGGCCATCATGATAGAACACCAAAGGGCACCCACTTCTTGTCCCAGTCTTGTTTACGCACCATCTGAGCAAGGATCCAGTCTGCACTCTCACGCAGATACTTTTGAGGCTCAATTATCAAATAGGTTGATGGACTATGAACCACTTGGTAATATTCTTAATCCTTTCACACCCTAAAATGAGTCTAATTCAATCTTGCAGCAACTCCCGGATTAGATGCTTACAGTACAAGCGCTCACTCAGATGGTCACTTCTGGGGCCCTGCCGCAGAAGAGGATACTTCGTCACACGGAACCTCAGCACCGTGGTCTTCGATACTAGACTCACAAACAATATCTGCTGACCCAGATCTGATCTCCAAGATGCCGTTTTTCATGGATTATTATGAAAACACAATGTGCCCTTCAATGGTCTTCATTGATGGCCCTACCAACCCGTTCCGAGAACATATTCTCCATCTCGCCGCCAGCAGTCGAAGTTTACAGCATGCTATTTGTGCTCTAGCAGCTTGCAACCTGCGAATGAAGAGGAAGTTAAGTCTCGGTCAGCACGCAAGAGACCTGGCAGAGAAGGGACTGGACCAGGCTTCAGATGTAATTTCGGACACACAACCAGAAGACAAGTCATTGTCCGAGGAGTACCAACATCGCAACTTGGCTGTTCAGTTGCTTAACGAGCAACTCAACGACCCTGTCAAGTCAAGACATGACTCCGTTCTCGCCACCATTCTACTTCTCTGTCATTATAGAATGGCGGAGTCCGGCATTGCCAAATTTCATACCCAATTTGCGGGCGTGAAGAAGATCTTGGGAATGAGACGGTCTTCGCCATTCCCTCCCTCGAGGGATTCTGCTTGGATGGAGGCACTCTTTACATACTTTGACGCAATCTCAGCGAGCATTAACGACCGGGAGGCGCAGCTCAATACTTCATTCTTTGGAGTAATGCCTGATGCTCAATTACTGCCACCTGGTGCGGAGAATCTAGTCGGCTGCGACCGGGAGCTTTTCAAAACCATCATCAAACTCGGACGGCTCAACTTGTTGTCACAACATCGACCTGTCCAGAACCTTCTCAGCAACCCGCTACCTCGCGGCGTTCCATCTCGGTCACAGTCACCTCTGGGCTCGCCGCTGGGACACTCGTTCAAGTCAGCTCACCAACATCACCTCAGCGCGGACATGTTTGGTGCGCCTCACCGCTTCGATGGCAATGGATTTGGTGCTACAATCGAAGAGGAAGAGGCTATTGCCTCATCGCTATCCTCTGCTGCCTACGATGATCACCGCTCAACATTCTGGCGTGAATGGAAAGATGCTCGTATTTCTCTGCAATCTTGGGAGTTCGAGCCTCAGCGTCTTGTGGCGTCTCTCCCAGGTCCAACACCGCCTAGTAGCGCACAAGTTCGCGACCTTGGCTCTCTATCTGAGGCCTTCCGGTACGCAGCTTTGCTTTACACTGAGCGCCTAGCAAGCCCGAATGTGCCGTCCAGTCATAGCAACTTCCGTAATTTGGTCAGCCAGGTTGTTTACTACGCAACATCTCTAGAGGCAGGATCATCTGCTGAGAAGTTCCTTCTCTGGCCATTGTTTGTTGCGGGCTCTGAATGCGTCAACGAGCTTCAGCAAAACATTGTCCGCTCCAAATGTCGCGAGATCATGGCCCGATCAGGGTACATGAACAACCTAGCAGCCTTGGACGTGCTTGAGCGTCTCTGGGCCGGCGACTGGAAGGAAGAAAGCCCTGGCAACAAGCTCGCCGGGATGATGCGCCGTGGACCGTTCAACTGGGCCAAGTGCATCGGCGGCCCGGGAGTCGAGGTCGAGTGGATCATGTTTTAATCTTAGACATATCCGTCTCTCTTATCTTGGATTATCCACCTCACTTTACCCTATCCAACCAGCACATACAAGACGAACATGATGAGATAAATACAAATATCTGATACGATATGATTGACAGGGGCAGATGTGTGCCACTGTAGTTACACGACGGAACCCACTGGGCACAGGAAGGCTCTGGGGATGCGGCAATGACTTGGCATTGATGTACATTTATGCATACACTTGGGATGTGATTTCTGATTTTTTCTTGAAGACAATTCTTATGGTCTTCTGTTTCTCCTTATTGCGTCGACGGTTGGGCTCATGGTTACTACAACTCATAGAACTGCTAGGTTAGGCAGCTCAGCAACTAGTCACTATTGTCTACTTCAAACTTCCCCGTCCCTCCCGAGAGGGGGACATTGCGCCCACCACTTGTCTGATCTTGCGTGACCTGAGTAACAACATGGATGGCGAAACGAATCTCTTATCTGTCGTCACTCAAGAGGATGGGTCCCTGGCGTTTCTAAACCTCCTGGACCTGATCGACCTTCCTTCTTTAAATTCTCGGTTGCTGACCGCCTCTGGTGGGCGAAGTGGACGAAGTGGGCTGGGGGATCTTCGGTGCCGCTTTCAACCATGGTTATCCGGTTGAAGCCCTTGATGATGGGAATGGGAAATTAGACAGCTCCCTCACCCCCCTTGATGCACCCCCTTGTCCGTGCCTTATATCATAGCGGAACAAGACTTAGACTTCCCTGGGCTCTCTAGGGTCATCGATGTCAGTCAATCTATCTCGAGCAGCCCGTCTCGGACGTGTACTATGTATCTGGGTAAGAATATAGCTCTATCAATCATGTATGCATATGTCTGTGCCTTGACCTACCTAGCTACGCCATGACTTATATAGCATGGCTATAACAATAGTATGCCATCTTAGCGACCGCCGACTCGCTCCTGCGAAAGTGTCCAGCGAGGCTAGCTATACCTAACACGTCTCCATGTACCCAACAAGCAGCTCGGAGAATAATCCAAAAGAACAGAGGACAAACACTCCGAGGGTCGTCCGGGATCTGGGGAGAAGCGACGGAGTGGCGAATCAGGGCTGTCAAGAATCAAATGCGAGTCGCAACGGCTGGCACCCTTCGGTTCCTGTTCGCTACCTGACGCTATCGTATTCGTTGGGGAGGAGGCCCTCCCATCATCCCATCTCCGGGTGGTGTCAAGTTGGGCTGGGGGGTTCGATGCGATGCATGTGATGCGACGCTATCGTCGTTTGCGGGTGGGCTTCTAGAGTCTTTCTTCCTTCCCTTCTCGAACTTCTAGAAGGAAACTGGCCCAGCCCACTCCCGGGACAAGTGGAAAGGGGCGGCGGGGGGCGCTTTTGCACTGGGCTCATTGGAGGGACAGCGCCTCTTACTCTCGCGAGGTGGATGCAAGTGGTGGTGCCTTTTCCTCGCCCAGGCGGCACTACTTCACTGGAGGCAGGCCTGTGGTGTTAGTGCCCTTGCGCTGTACCTTACGAGCACAGATAGGTACCTTCAGAAGCAAGCTTCCTATTGATTCATTCCGCCTTCTCTTGCTGCTGCCACCTGCAGCAGCCTAGGTAGAGCTACCTACCCAAGGAGCTACCTCCTAGAAGCAGCCAGCAGCGGTGCGGTGCATCGCAGTGCAGCGCAGTGCATCGGGGTGGGGAGACAAGCAAAGCAAGCAGCAGCACCAGCACCGAATCAAGCACCTAGTGAGGTTGTAGCAGCCAAGAAAGCCAGCAGCGCAGCTAAGATGGGGGGAAGAGGCAGGGATGCTGCCCACTGTGCAGACCGGCTGGCCGGGGCCCTCTTCGCTCTGTTCTTCCTCCTACTGCACGGCGACTGCATCTCGTCACACTTGGACTAGGCCCTGCTCGAGATAGGCTCGTTCGGCTCTGCTTGCCGCGTCACCGAACGAGATGGAGTCGAAAGGTGGGCACGGTAGGCTCGCTCTCTCTTCTCACCGTGGAGATGTGCCATCGGGCGGGTCGTGGAGTGATCGATCGATAGCGTTATCATTATCATTCAGTCGGACCCTCGAGAGGACCGACGGCCGCCCGACTACTTCATCGCACTAGCCACAGCCGGAGTGTGGCGTACACATTTCAGCACCAGCCTCACTCTGATACGCTCACGTGCAGATAAGAAAAGTAGTGGGATGTGTCTTTCTTATCGGACAAGAAAAAATATCCAGGAGACGGAGATGCATAGTGGAAGTCGTCCTCTTTAGCATCCCGCCGCCTTGTCGACCATAGAAAGGCTCCGGACAGCAATTGAAGACAGCCAGGATGGGTCGAGAACTCCAGAAGAAAAAGCGGCGATCGTCGCGGCAAAAGGTCCAGACACACAATCGGCCAAAGAAGCTGCTGAACCCGCTGGGCAACAACATCATTGCGCAGAACTGGTACGTCCCAAGCCGTCGTGCAGCACATGTCCTCCCCAAGACCGCAAAACGCACAGGTCCCTCCCGCTTCTCCAGATACGAAACTCAATGCTCAGAATCAACATTCTTGCTAACGTGCTCCACCCCCAACCCGCAGGAACAAAGATGAGACCATGACGCAGAACTACCGCCGGCTCGGCCTCGTCGCCAAGCTGGGCAAGGCCACCGGCGGCACGGAGGCGCGCCCGCACGACAAGAAGGGGCCCCGGGTGGCGGACGACCCGCTCGCCATCAAGAACGTGACCAGCAAGAACGGCGGCAGCATCGTCAAGCACGTGGCGGTGGAGCGCGACGCCGCGGGCCGCATCGTCCGCGTCCTGGGCGGCGGCCGGAACCCGCTCAACGACCCGCTCAACGACCTCGACTCGGACGAGGAGGGCGGCGGCGGGGTCGAGGACGACGGCGGGGAGTGGGGCGGCGTGGGCGACGGGGACGGGGACGGGGACGGGGACGAGCCGCCCAAGGTCGTGCACCAGCTGGAGAGGGAAGCCCGGCGGCCGGTCGAGAAGCACATCCGGCACCAGAGCGAGCGGGAGCGGGAGTGGCTGCAGCGGCTGGTCGACAAGCACGGCGACGACACGGCGGCCATGGCGAGGGACCCGAAGCTGAACCCCATGCAGCAGACGAAGGCTGATATCGCGAGGCGGCTGAAGGTCTACCAGGCGGAGTTGAAGAGCGAGCTGAATGCATAGACAGAGGACGTAAAAGCCAAATATCTTGGGCGTTTTTCGGCGTAATAGGGGTCAAGTTAGACGGCATTATCACGAATCTACACCATCCTCCAAAAGTCGGGGACCTTGCACAGCAGTTTGTCATATCCTTGAAATTTATATATATGTATATGGTATCTCATGATGATTACCGTGTGAAACGCCGCCTTTGAACACCCGAATGTGAAGTGCGGGGGGGGGAAAGAAAAAGCCAGATATTTTGTGATCCCTCCTATATCAAACAAGCAAAACACCAGATCGTGAGCCTCGATCCTTCTACCGTATCCGTGCATGAAGTACACAATGATGACGTGCCCCATGCCTCATCTATATCCGACACGCAAGTCACTCAAATCAGTGCTATATCCACTACCACCAATGACAACCTACAGCAGCCTCGCCCTGAGGCTAATGGATGCGTCCGTAGTCAGCAGCGGGAAACTGCGCCGGCCGGTCATCGTCGTAGTCGTCGTGGGCCGCCGGGGGCGCGTACACATGGCTGCTGCTCCCGGACGGGAGCCGGCCGCCGGCGCCCTGGTACGCCGTACTATCGTCAAAAGGATTCTCGTGGGCTGGGCTGCCGCCTCCCACGGGCCGCATGTTGTACGCATCCGGGTCGTGGGGGTCGTGCGGGGCGTTGCTGTACGCGCTGCCGCCACCCCCGTAGGAGCTGCCGGCGCCGCCGTACGGCGTGGCGTTGAACTCGGGCTCGTGGTCGTGGTCGTGCATGCCCACGGGCGCGTAGGCGTCGTCGTCGTGGGGCGCGGTGGAGAAGGCGGCCTTGTCCGGGTCGATGTTCTGGTTCTTGACGCCCATGTGCTCGTAGCCCGGGAGGGTCCCGTTGAAGTCGTAGTAGCGCAGGGTGGCCACGCTGAGGAAGGTGGTGCCGGCGAAGAAGAGTCTGTAGATGATGGGGGGCACAGTCAGCTGCTGAAACGTCTGGAAATTGAGGTACCGCCGCCGGCTTGGGTGTGGGGAACGCACGTTACGAAAACGCCCATGGCAACGATGGCCTTGCTCAGGCTGCAGCCCTTGCCGCACTCGTCCTTGCTGTTGTATGCAGCCTGCGTCGCGAACGCGGACAGCCAGAGGACGGTGAATAGGGCGTCGACTGTCACCATAGCGTGTGGCTCAGCTAGCCTTCGGGTGCGAGGCCACCGGGGAGCCATTATGAGATATATCCATGCTGGTATTGTGAGGAAACACTGGAGAGCCTGCGTCAGCCATCATTGAATCTAGGGCAGTAACCAGAGCTCGAACTGCCACGTACGACTGCAAATGTCCATCCGTTTCTGCCATTGACTTTGGAATCGTCTGCCCGAAAGACGGCAATCTCGAGACACCAGGCCGTGAAGGCGAAGAGAATCTGCAAGATGTGCAGGCCCAGCTTATAGCCGGGGATCTGTTCTGAATCCCATTCGAAATCCACCATCGTGATCGCCCCGTGTGCGTGTGTGTTTGGTGTTGTTGTGTGTTGACGTGCACCGACCGGGGCGTATAGGAGAAGCTCTCAGCTGTGAAACGAGGCTTTTGGTTAGGTAGGTTGCGAAATTCAGCTAGCTAGCTAACTAGCTTGGATAGGAGCTGTCGGTTATGCAACGAGGTAGTAGCCGGCACCGAAGCTGGGAATCGTCGTGAATCGAGAGAATGTAGCAGAGGTCGGCACTGTTGAAATGAACGTCGGAGTCGATGGAAAGAGGTAAAAAGTCAGAGTCAGGAAGTTGATGACATGAGCGAGAGGGACCGGACGCGTGGATGATGTACGCAGCTGGGTTAAAAAGAGTCTTGGGGGAGAGGCTCCATTTTCAGGAGAGCGAGCGAGAGTGCGCAGCCGCCGCCCGCCATCCATCCGCCATCAGCGACAGCAACAGGGCCCAGACAACCCTGAACCGCCCAAGACCCAAGACCCAAGAGCCACAGCACCCAAATGGACTGCGCCACGATCGCAGGCAGCCAACCACGGGCGGTTTCAGCGAAGCGGCTGAACGGTTTAGCGATGCTAAGGGCTGCTAAGGCCCAATACTCTGCGCTAGAGGACAGCCATTGATTCCGGCTCTGGCTGATTTTGCAGAACAGCGGAGTCGATGACCTACGGCTTGCATGTTGCTATTGCTGTTGCCATTGAAGCGATGGGGAAACTTTTGTAGCAGGCTCTGAAGTGATAAGCTGCCGTCTACCTGCATCTACAAATTGAAAGTATGCTGATAGGCCATTTGTCTCTCACAGGGGTACTCCAAACACCGAGACACGCGTACGAGGGACTGATACTCGCACATCACCAAGGTAGAGATACTGGGGGAAAGGAGCTCGAAAGCACCGGGGGCATCAATTGAGCCTTACAATGAACGCCTGATAACTACCGTTATTGTTGTAAGGCGATTGAGACAGTGTGGAACTACCTGGGTAGCTGCCAAAGCAAAGCCTCACTGCCGACGCCGAAGCCGTTGTCTAGCGTAGCGTAGCGTAGCGCAAGGCATCCTCCATTCTGCTGATGCCCTTCAACAAGCCGCATCCATTCCTCTCAATTTGGATTCCGACGCTTGGAGATAACGTATAGCGAGGTCACGCTCATCATCTCAAATCAATGCAAATGCATGGATACCATGTTAGCATCCCTTCTTCACCCTTGGCAAGGAATGTCAGCAGTTCGCAGCAGTGTTGCTCGCTTGATCCCACCTACACACGTGCTACAGTAGAAGGGAGAGCGGCATGTTTTTCGCCGCAGGGCTGGCTGGGTGGATGTCCACGAATCCGGGGAGTGCACCGCCCTCTGAATGCGTAATGCCGGCACCGGGAATTGCGATTGGATTTTACGCAGTCCGGTCCCATTTGGCGGTTGCCGGCGGTTGCCTCACTGTAATGTACATTGTACAGTACGCTACCTCAGTACACACCACAGTGACAGGACGCACCACTGCAGATCATTATTATGGGGCCTCCCGCCCGTTTGCACCAAAAATAGATGGCCGGCCATCCGTCGTCACTCATTCTCCGGTTCGCCTCCCCGATCTTCTTGGTCATTTTGTCCGTCTCTAGCCACCGCAACCCCGGCTACCTCCCGCAGACATCCGGATGCCGTTGCTTCTTTGAAGATGGAAATACACTTCACATTTTCTCAATTCCTATGCTAGATAATACACACCCACATGATGCGGGATGACATATTCATCACGTGACTATGCTTACCATCTAAGCTTCGTCCCGAATCGAACATCCTTAGTAACTCACATACCTGACAAGGTACCATCAATGGCAGAGCGACCGCTAGCCACTGCAGGCTGGTAATGCCTCCTTCGGCTTAACACGGAGAAATCTCAGAATATTGGTTGCGTTCGGGTATTGTTACCAACACTTATTTGTGTTATCTCTATTCGATAATGGTGAACTATGGAGTTTCAAAGGCATGTCAGGAATGCAAGCGCAGAAGGAAGAAAGCACGTCCCTCCAACTTCCAATCTCACTGATCGGCCATGCTAACGGCAAGTCGTGTAGTGTGACGAGACACGCCCGGTAAGCTAGCTACTATCATTCGATATTACCAACGTCAAGTAGTCTTTTTCGTCAGGACTAATCTGTTCTCCATGTGCTAGTCGTGTCTTAGATGCAGCAGAAATGGACGCAAATGCCCTGGGTATCGCCCGGATACAGATCTACTCTTTAGAAATAGTCGCCAGGAACGGCATCAATCATCAGTACGCCAAGCGTCTAAAGAGAATGTCCACATCGAAGGGAAAGCAAAGATAGTTCTCCCGCACAAACTGGGAATTCCGGATTGGCCGGAAATAGAGAGCTTGGCTTTTCGAACTTTCATTTCCGACTATTGCATCTCTTCATCGAACCGCACAGTATCACGCGGATATCTCAACGGTCTCGCATCTCTAATCGATGAAGCTGGACCTGCGTCATGTCTCGCCAAGTCGTCCAAGATCATTTCCCTGGCAAACCTTGGGAAGAAAACGTCCAGTGCTATGCTTTTGGATAAAGCTGAGACCTTGTACTTTGACTTGCTTCCCGCTTTTCGTCGAACTATATCCAACGAGGGCAAGACTACGACTGTCCATTCACTCATAACTGCTGTACTGTTAGGGCTCTATGAGGTCAATATAGCATGTGAACTCATGAAGACAGTACGTTAGCTGACATTGATAGATCATTACGACGACTAGTACCGACCTGGGCTCGCACACAGCTCATGCCCGAGGTGTATCGGCCATTCTCACGAACAAGTTTTCGCTATTTGACCTTGTGTCTGGGGTCCAACTCTCTCAGCTTCCCAACCCCCTCATCCATAAGGACTTAGACTTAGACGACGGGGATATTGGATGCCTGGCAACAGCTACTGTTCAGACAGCAGACATATTCAGTATTCTTTGTATGCCGTTGATCAACTCCACATGGGCAACACTTGATCCAATCTTTGTCAAGACAATATCACTAAAACGAAAAGCGGAGAAGCTGCTGGACGATGAAAGGGATACAACCACACCTGAAGATCTCCAGCTTCTCAAACAGGAGGCTGAACTAGTGAGGGAAGATTATCAGAGGTGTGTACTGAACCTCGCAAAGGAATGGACACCAGTGTTGGTTGGTCATATACCTGGCAATCAAAATGATATGAGGTAAGCTCATCGATGGCAGCCTCACTTCAAAGGCGGCTTGAGCGATGCTGTCATCCTGGCTCTTAAAAGCTTCGAGTGTATCTTGACTAAGGCCAAACACTCTCTTCTCCATCTCTGTAATATAAATTAACATTGAGACACAGGAGACCTGAAGCAGGCTACTGGCCAGGACCCGTCTTAAGCTATTATGATCGTGAGAAATACCATGACCTGGCATTTGATCTCTGCCATGGGTACTAACGGCCTACAGATTACGTTGCGTGCATCATCAACTCTTACGCCAAATCTCAACTTTTGGTGTTGAACGTCATAGCTCGTTGTCAGGGGTTCACCCAAGATACCGAAATCGACCCTCTGATTTGGGAAGAAGCCCAGAAGCTCGCGCTGAAAATGGTAGCGTCTATCCCTTATTTTCTCTCCGAAAACGTGCAGGTATTCGCGGACCAGAGCCTGGCTTCGGGGGCGACGTCTTCTCAGGCGATCACCCCTGGCCCATCTGTGGGCGGCCTGCTCATAATGCACACTCTTTATATGGTATCGAAATTGTCCGTGCTTGATCCCATGCTGAAGACCTACCTGAAAGACTGTCTGGCATGGATTGGACGGAACATGGGGATCGGTCAAGCTACTATGCTAGCGGAGGTAAGTTTAAGATACATGTCTTCGGTTGAAATGGTGCGCTAAACGAATTGACAGGACACGTCTATGAATCGGTCTGACTATATCACACAAGCGCATGTTTTGGTCTGGGCAGGCATGCTTCTCTGATGAGTCGGTGGCTTCTTGTCCGCGACAGCTTTTCAGAGAAGACGAACCCATACTACAGAGCATTGAACGGCGTGCACGATAACAATCTGTAAATATATATATCTGGCTCTACTGGGCAACCGGATAATCTTTCACCTTGGAACTCAGAAGGGCCAGTACATTTTGCTCACGATCTTAGCCTTCTATCACTCCCAGTCAAACAGGCAATAACCGCAATTCCATTGCGGAGGTCTAAGTCACAACCATCTGGACCAATCTTAAGAGGTCCTAGCCTTTACGCGTAGCAGATTTTCTGCGTTTTTGAAAGCAAACTTCTCTAAATATTCGCCTACAATCAAGCCGCTTTTCTCGATTTCTTCCACAAACGCCAGCCCCGTCTCGTTGGTAGAGAACGGATAATCGACACTGTACAAGACATGGTCGATCGAAGTCGTCTGCAACAAGCAGGCCAGGGGAGGGAGCGTAAACATGCCGCTGGTCGTGACCCAGATATTTTCTCTCCACACCTCTCGCAGGCCGCGCTCTCGCTTTGCCCACCTCTGCGAGCCCGAGATGACGCGATCGAGTTGAAACGGCAATAGTTCGCCCATGTGGCCAATGATAATCTTCAGTCTTGGGAAGCGATCAAAGAGGCCACTGGCGAACAATCTGAGGATGTGCAGGCCCGTCTCCGAGTGCCACGCCCACCCAAAAGCGCTCAAGGTGAGTGCAACAGAGTCGTCATAGTTGCCCTTGTAGTAATCCACCATGTTCTCGGGTGGGAAGCAGGGGTGGATGTAGATTGGAACATCCAGCTCCTGCGCGGTTTCAAAGACCGGCCAGAAGCGCTCGTCATCGTAGAAGTGTCCTCGAGCATGGTTTTCCACCAACGCACCCACGAAGCCAAGTTCTTGGACACAGCGTTTTAGTTCCCGTGCTGCTGCCGCCGGCTCGCTCAAGGCGAGCATTGCAAAGCCGGCTAGTCGAGTTGGGTTCTTGGAAACAGCGGCTGCCAGGTCATCGTTGGCCGCTGTACAGACGGATGGTGACGCTTCGCCGGGACCGTGGGAGACGACTTGGAGCGTAACATGCCCCCGGTCGAGATCCTGGATTCGCTCATCGCCAAGAGAGTTCAACTTGGAAAGGATAAACGGAGGGAAATTGTTATATAAGGCTCCAAGGCTCTTGCTGGATTCAAGGACCTTTGGTGAGGAGAAGTGCTCCTCGAGAGTGATTAGGGGCAGCATGATGGAAGGGCAGCGAATCAGCGTGGATGGATTATGGAGATGACGGTAGTGGTGAAATGAACAGAAGGCAGTTAATAGACAAGAGACCGAGTACAGCCAGGCTGACTACTCTCAAGATAATCCTTCCTTTTAATTATTGTATTGTGGGAGTCTCGGTTACAAGCTATCGTTGCGTGTAAGTCACGGGTGGATACATCTGGTGGATGTTGAATGCCGTTTTCGGTTCGCTTTGCGCCTCGGGATGTCCCTCTAAGCCAGACGTAGTTAGCTTTGCGCCTCCAGGCCGCCGCAACTCCCTTGCTACCTGCAATATCACAGCGGCTTCAACAACTTCCTGCAATGACTTCTTCCGCTTGAAGATAGTTAGCTTTGCGCCTGCGATATCTATCTTGTAATTAAGGTATAAACGTGTCCCTCATTACGTGTCGTGTTGACTCCTAATATTAGATGTAGTTAGTATCGCGCTTGTGATACACTCCACCTTTTTGCAACTACATAAGATCTTTGACGGTCTGTTCCCGTGGCTTTCAAAGCTAGAATATGGTTAGCTTTGCGCCTCCGTTATATGTCTTGCTCTTCCTCTTTGCAACACCACAATGTCTCCCGGTGTTGTAGACAATACCCATTCCGTGGCAGCTCGTCCTATATAAAGGCCACCCGTACGAGTCTTACTCTATTGAACCTTCATCATGGACATTACAATCTTAAACCTAGCAAAGAAACATAGCTCCTAGCATATACAGTTGAGAAAGACAATCATGTCGGCCAAAGTCGTTCAATCCTCCAAACATGTTTGGCGGAATGTCCTGCCGGCAGCGGCACCTGGATGTTCTCAGGGCACTCCCTATTCTTTTTGGGTGAAGGGAGGCCTTCCTACCAAGCTCGCCGTCATTTTTTCTGGCGGTGGTGCATGCTGGACGGGTGAGAATGCGGCATTGTATGGAAGACCTTTCTACCGGCCCTTTGCTGGTCTTGAGGGGGATCCAAGTAATTTGGGCGGCGTCTTCGACCTTGGAAACCCGGAAAATCCACTGGCTGAATACACCATGATCTACCTTACCACCGCCAACGGAGATGTCTATCTTGGTGATTCAGTCATCGAATATGACGTACCTGAAATGAACGGGAAGCCTGCAGGCAAGATCAGGATCTTGCACAAGGGCTACGACAACGCGATGTCTGCCTTAGATTGGGTGTTCAAGACCTATCCGAGCCCTGCCACCGTCGCCGTGATGGGCTGGAGTGCAGGAGCGATCGGATCGCCCCTTTACACTCACATCATCGCTCAAAACTACCCGAAGGCGTCTATCGCCCATCTCGCCGATGGCGGAGGCGGCTGTCGCATGGGTGACAAGCTTGCGCTGCCCTTCAAATCCTGGGGGACAGCGAACGTTCTCAAGAGGGTCAAGGGCTTCGAAGACCTGAGCACGGACGGCTTGTCCTTTGAGGATCTCTACATTCGAGCGGCCGAGCTCCATCCTGAGATCACCTTTCACCAGTACAACGAGCGGCACGATGGGATCCAGGCCTTCTTCATCCAGCTCACGGGTGTGCGCGTCCCCGACGTCGCGGGAAATATAGACGCCGGGCACGCCTACATCCGCGCGAAGATTCCCAACTTCCGCACCTACATCAGCTGGGGGCATGATGAAGGCATTATCGGCGGCTACTATGACGCTGTGCTTTCAAAGAATGCGCTGGACAACCGTGGACGTCCTCATGTGCTGGACAGGCTCTACACTCGTCAGACCAACGGTGTGCGATTCCTCGACTGGTTTGCCGCGGCCATTGAGGGTAAGCCGGTGGAGGATGTGGCCTGTGTGGACAGTGAGACCCCTGAGCACCATTGGACGCGCCCGAAGTTTCCCTCCTAGAACGCTCGCGAGGATGACTTGTTCGCAGGAGACATATTGACGATGTTATCGAATCTAGTAGAATAAACTTAGCGGTAGATTAACTGAGGATATAATTAGAATTATTGAAATCAAACAGGCTGTTGCTGCGAGGTTCGCAAAAGATTATATAAGCGAAAGAATCCGGTCATGGACGACTGCATTCTTACTAGTTCCCGCAATGCTGAGTCGGCCTTCGGACAAATTGCAAACCACCACATCTACCCGACTCCAGGTGGGTGTGTCATGCCATGATATGATTGATACCTGCCAATGAGCAGTCCATGAAAAGAAGACTCTAGACCGAAGAAAGCACGTATAAAATCAATCCAAATCCTTCAGAGCTCTACAAAGCACCAAATCTTTAATTTTCTGGGGTTAAAACGTTGTAAAGGAAGAAGCGGCCTGGCAATTATACCTAAAGCTCGCTCCAGCACGCTAGCCTATCAGGACGCCCGTATTTGTCAACTTACACCAGACAAACATATCGTGGCACTTCAACCACATATGACAACTCTCACTGGGCATCACCCTACTGGCCTATAATGTCGCGTTTCTTTCCACATACCGCTTATGCGGAGGAGCAACCCCTCTATCACACCATCCTGACCGTCCACGTGCTCACGCGCGCCGTCACAGCCGGCTCCATCGTCGGCGCAGGCGTCTTCGGCGCGAAGGACATCTACCAAAGGCTCAGGAGCCGGCCGCCCCCGGTCCTGCCCCGGTCACAGCTGCTCCTTCGCAGCGCGGGCGTTGGCAGCACCGTCGCGGTGGGCTTGCTGAGCATTGCTCTCGTCGGACGGATGTGGGGTCGCGAGGAGATCGAGTGGCGCGACCGCGCGTGGCGATTGCTGGAGAACAAGGGCCAGCTGGAGACGGACGACTGGACATACGGCGGCGCGCTGGTGGGCCTGGGGAGCGCGGCGCTGGCGAAGGGCGGGCTGGCGGCCCTGGGGTGGAAGGGGGTGGTCGGTGCCGCGGGGACAGGGACGGTCGCTGGCACTGTGGGCTACATGGTGTGGAGATATGGTGTCCATAAGGGCAAGTTCTCAAGCTGAGAAGTCGCCAATATGAGAGGTTGTCGTTTCTGGCTTGGACGGGGTTCATTCAGGCGTTGCTTGGAGGGCGTTCTAAAAAGGCATCTGTATGGGGCTACAATGGCCTTGATATCCCTTCCCGAATTCGTTCATCTGTATTACTAGGTTCTGTTCAAGAGCGCGAGCCTCTTCATGAGGCTTTCGATCCACTCAGATGGCACTCTCAAAGTAATGAAAATGCTTTAATTCTAAATGACATGCAGTTCAGTACATCTCAGTCATGCATTTCGTACTCCCAATACTTGCTCACCCAGGCTCTACGTTTATGATATTAACACATACTCAAAGACACTAACATTACTTTTAGCTACATCATTATCTAAGTATCATAGCCTAGATACATGGGCCATGTGGCCGAAGTCATATCTATTTAGTGCAGCTGACGGTCTTGTTGGTCGGCTGCGCCAGACCCAGACAGTTGGCGATCTTGTAGAAGACGTCAATGTTGGAGTATGTGCCGCTGAAGGTCTCCTCACATGGGCCCAGCGCATACACGGGCACATCGGTCAGCGAGTGGACTCCCTGGCTCTCGAATGTGGGGAGCGTGCCGTTGACGATGAAACCGTCCGGATTGTCCTTGGGGTTAACGAAGTAGTCGTTGCTAGCGAAGCCGGTGATGTTGGTCGCCGGCACGCGAGAGCCGTCCTTATCGACCGCATAGTTCTCCCGATGATCGGGGTTGGCGCCGAGCCCGGCAGCGATGACATAGCGCGGGTCCCAGTTGACCGGGAAGGTGGGGCCGGTGCCGTATGAGACGCCGGGGACCTCGACGGTGTACTGGGACAAGCCAGAGTTCTGGTAGACACCAATAGCGTTACGCTTGGCTCTGTCGTCGCTCTGTGCAGCCATGTACTTGGTATCGGAGGATCCGAACACGTCAAAGCCGTGGCCGTGATCAGCAGAGACAACAATGAGAGTGTCCTCGTAAATACCAAGCTCCTTAAGCTTGGCGATAGTAGCAGAGACAGTGTCATCGAGCTCGAGAAGATCACCTAGGGCGCGATCATAGTCAAGTACGTGCATCTGCTTGTCGATAGAAGCGGCTTCTGACATAAGGAAGAAACCCTTGCTACCTCCACGGGTGTGCAGAACGTCAATTGCTTTGAGAGTCATTTCCTTCAGGCCTGGCAGGTCGAGGGCTGGGGACTTGGCACCGGACGGGTCATTGGTAGACTTGTTCAGGTTGTCCGTGTATACATTGCGGTCCAGCCAGACAGGCAAGTTGGACTTGCAGAAGATACCCAGAGCTCTGTCTTTGTTTGGGCTAGCGAGGAGAGATGTCTTGTTCAAGCTGACGGTGTAGCCCTTGTTGGCGAACTCGGCGTAGTAGTCCTTGCCGAGATATGAGGCGGATCCAGGCAGGAACTGTTCAGCACCACCCCCAAAGTACGCATCGGGACCGCCGTGGTTAGTCCAGGAGTAGTTGGACAGGCCGTTCAGCGCCTGATCGATAAGGGGACCATATGCGTAACGGGAACGGGTATGGGAGGTCAGAGCAATAGGGGTAGCGTCCGCAATAAAGGCAGTGGAGACAGCGCCCCAAGCAGAGCCCTAGATGCCAATTAGTTTGGACAGAACCGCAATCTTCCAATATTTTCTTACCCAGATTCGCTTGAGTAACTCCACAACAGTCTCGACCTTCGGGTCATCAAACAGGTCAGGGGACGAGTCCGCATAGACACCCATTGCGTTCACGGTGCTCTTATGACCAGAGTACAAGGCGGAGGCAGAGTTGGCGCTGTCCGTGATGATGGAATCAATTGAAGAGGTCTATAGTGATTAGCTAACGGCATAGATTGTCAGGGAAAGCAGACCACTAACCATCTGGTGCCCAACAACAGGGAATTTGTCGAGTGCAAGCAGGCTCTCATACTTTCCATTGACAGACTTGTGTCCAAGGACACGAGCTGCAGTGATCATGTTCGTAGTCATGCCATCACCTACAGCAAATTAGTCAAGGATTATTGTGGCAGCTACAGAAATTCCCTTACCAATGAAGAAGATGACATTCTTAGCCCTCTTAGCAGAGGCGATGGGTCGCACAACCCAATTGGCAACAGTCTGCTTGCCATCGTAGTAGTTGAGAGTAACGGTGTAGTCACCAGGCTCGTACAGAGCAACGCGACGATACGCCTTGGAAGCAACATTGACAATGGTAGCATTCTTCGCATCTTGCGCGAAAAGATCCTCGTACCAGGAGAACTTCCACTTCTCCAATTCCGGCTCCTCGTGGTCAAAGAACTCGGCAATGCTCTTGGCTGGCTCATCGCCTTTCGCGATTGTCACAGTGAAAGCCTCGTCTGGCTTGCCGTCATTGAAGGCCTCTGATCCATTCACTGGGGCATGCACCTCGAAACGAATGTCGAACTGCTGGCCAGGCAAGAAGTCCTGCTGGTCCGGGGGAAGGATGCAGCCAAGAGTCGGGCAAGTTCCAAGCCTCTGGAAATACTGCGCGGAGGCAGCCGAGAGGAGGACCGCAAGAGTGGCGGCAAGATTCAATTTCGCAACCATTCTGCCGTATATTGTCCGCTCGAGCTTGAGGCCAGGCAATTGAGGATACTCTGAGCTGGAGACTGGAAGAAACAAACTTCCGCAAGCAATTGAGAGCTCCGTGCAGAGACCGGGGGTCTTATATGGATGTCGCAAGGCACGGAAAGTACCTACCTGCCTACCTATGACCTAAGAAGGTGGTTTGCGCCGGCGATCTTGGCCAGGACTACCTGTGTTCCTGTCGCGTTATCGCATCTCGCAACCAGGATCACAGCTTCATGCACCTCGGCGCGGAGCTTCGGTGTGCAGCAGATGAGCTCCCCATTGGCTGCCAAGCTGACGGCCGATCCGACGATATGGGAGGAACCAACCCGAGGGCCTGGGCTACTCGTCCTGCATCGTGGATGTAACTTCAGGAATCATGGACGGTATCTTGAGCACGTGTGCCCAGGCTCTCGTCTTTCTCTTAGGACCGGCGGGTAGCCCGCGGGCCAGAAGCGAAGACGAAGCTCATCGGCAGCTCGATGGCGTTCACGCCGTGGGCTGGGCATACAGCATCCAGTCGGGGGCCTTCTCAGCAGCAGGTGAAGAGATGTTTTGCGTCATTCAACCGGCCCAGCTGCCTCGTCCGTAGCCCGCTTGGCGCTGTGCGAACAGAGTGTATGTGCCTGACTTACCCTTGCTGCATCTCTGTGGCTTCGAGAAGGACTCGAGGGAGTCTGGTGATTTCATCTGATAGTCTTGGTGCCAAGACTTTATATATGTAGCCAAGACCGGGAATGGCTGAGGTCTTCATCAACGTGGTTCAGGGTGAAGCTGTGATTGGTGCTGCGCGAAGGAGGGGAAACGTGGGCAAGAAATAACGCTGTGCGTGTTAGTCCGCGTGTTAGTGAAAGGTACTAACAGGGTGCCCCAGCTGGTCACCACAGCTCGCACCTTCGAATCGTTTTAAGTCTGATAACCTCTTGCCATCCTGATATCTTGTCTGTCTTATCAGTCTTGAGAGCTGGTCTCCAGTCAGGGAGTGATCGCTTTCTCGCAGTTCTCGCCAGGAGAAAGAATTTTCGCTAAGGTACTGAGCCCTGAGACGGGATGAGCGAATTCACTTTATATTTCTGTTCCTTCTAGGTATCTTAGGATCGTCTTTTAGGAATTGTCGAATCCAATGGGCCGTGTCTAAAACATATGGAAGGTGCCAACACGACAGCATCTTTGAGTCGCGTAGATTACCTATCCCGTCACCGAACTCTAGTTGTCTCATTTCTTGCAGAGCCACGTGGGACACTAGCTCTTTCAGCATTCCAGGCCGGGCGGTACTTTTGCGTCAGTTATTCCATGAAGTAATATGCATCCTCAGGCTTTCGTGTCTATAGAGTTCAATGCCTCGCTCGACTAAGCGTGTGACACCATTACTTTGCGGCACGAAAGGCTTTGCAACAGCCTTGCGTGAGTCTTCAATCAGACACGCCAATGACTAGCGTATGTTCGGCAAGGTGAGCATATACCTCGACTGTAAACTCGAAAGAGATCTAGGTTCGTCAGTCGTTCAAAATGTTTGTCGTTGTACTTGTGCCTCTCCACCAGGGCTATTAATATTGGTCTGACACGGGTATCATGTCCTCCTCAACGAGGAATATTACCTTTACAAGAGCTAATAACTCTATAGTAGTAAATATAATCTTCGGAGCTTCAATGAGTGAGAGATGAACGGTTATTACCCTAGCGGAGGAGTCGCATTATCAACAATTAAGACTGAAGTAATTCAATCTCTCGGGGTGCATCGATGACTCAAATTTATATGTAACGTATGAGGACCTTGATGGTAAAATTAAGCACCCTGATGGCATGTCCACTCATCTCTTCCCATAAATAGGAGAAGATTTGTTCAAGTGAAGAACGATAGCTCTCAAGTTACCAATGAATTATCTTCCCGATGACACCTTGAGATGGCCACAACTCTCGTTTGCATATCACTCTGAGTCTAGCCAATGAGCCAAAACTGTTATCTGGGTGCAAGTATCGCTATCCAGATAATTAGCGACTGTGAACTCTTTCGCTTCCTCACTCGTACGCGGTAGTTTTTAAGAACAACCAAGGTCACTTGTATCATATCTCCTAAGTAAGACATGACTTATCGCAAATGGCCGACATTCCTGCGCATCTCAGCCTTGAAAAGACTTACATACTCCTTAAACACTCGCTATGACTTATTTGTAGTGACTTTGATCGGAAATGACAGAATACTACTCATTCAGACTTGAAAAGCAATGTGGTCGCTAATGATGTGTCATGCAGACAAACGAATAACAGAACACCGACACCGTGGCCGTTCAAACGTCATCAGACATTATTTGCTGTCTGCAGCCTCTGGTTTTCGGCCGTATACGACAGTTCTGAAGTTGATTTGATCAGTGTGCACGCTCGTAACAAAGATATCAAACATTATCTCGACTCACGTTGTGATCCACCAACATTGACTCTTTTTCTTCAATTCTGCCCTGAATTTCGCTGTGAAGACGAGCACCTCCTCGGGAGTCCACCCAAGAAACGTTGTAAAAAGGTACATTCCAAAGCCCTCGAGACTTTGATCTAACATGGCATATAAGAAGAGTCCTGCCTGTTGTAACTTCGGATCCTTGGGCCATGAATGACATGGTGCTTTGAACTTGACCTCAGTTACATCGACAAAGCCTGCCCTCTCCATTGTCTCTTTCATAGTATGTCCGCAGGATATGGCGAATGACTTGCCCATTTTTTCTCCGCACTCATAGTATAACCTACCCCATTCATGAGATACGTGATCATCTGGAACAGTCACATGGTCTGATTGGATTTTCACATCCATTTCGCAGTCCTGAAGCCAACCGCCGGGTTTCAGGTGTTTGTACGCCTTGCTGTACAAGGCATCCCAATCAGGAATGCTACCTATCCGAGACCTGGGCGTCAGCGTCCATTTTTCAACCGACCTGAGCGTGTGGCAATTGGCGTATTACTTACCATACAGTGCACGCATATGGACAAAGTCAAAATGATCTTCTGGCCATGTCCAATCGAGAAGGCAGTCGTCAATCTGGAAATGAACATTAGGTGGCACCCACGGTGGCTGAATAGGACTCAGGTCCGTCCCTATCACATCTGCGCTAGGAAACATGTCCCCAAAATCGCTAGCATTTTTGTTTCAGCTTCCCGCGTCGCGACAAATGGTGGCTTGGATGGTTTGTCTGGTACTCACATTGCCCAAATTCCGGTACCAGTTCCAACGTCAAGGACTCGCTGTGGGTCATCACCAATGGGAGCAAGAAAAAGCTTGTCACCCATGACCATCATGAGACAGTTGTGGAGTAAGTCCAAGCCTTCGTTCTGCTGGTCATCGTTCGGGGCCCAGTACTCGGACGTCTTTGCCGCGTTGTATGTCCTGCCGTGGATCTTTCGGTAGGCGAAAATGCTCTCACTTAACGAGTCGGTGGAAGAAGGGCTACAGAAGACAATCGGATGATTAGCACGATCTAATTTGAGAACAAGAGAGAATCATTCTTGCCTGGGGCCAGTCAAGGAAGAGTCCTGGTCGCTATCATCGCGGAGATCCTCCTCCTACAAACCCCACAGCTTTCAGTAAGGGAGGAGACCATTTTCACTGGTGATAGAGACATACAGCGGCAATTGGTTCTTGTGTCTCAGCTGGGGAATGTGCGGTCGGCGACCGTGCCGTTGGAGACTGGGCCGGCTCCGGCGACGGTCCCGACATCTTTCGGATGTAATTAGAGCTCCAGGCCAAAACGAGACGGCGGCGATGTGTGTGACAAAAAGTGTGAATATGGCCCGGACAACAACAGGGCTCGCAACTCGCAAAGGCGGCACGTAGGATAATTTTTAATCGACGAAGCAAGCCATGAAGCGGGCCGCTCCGCTTGCAGCGGATGCTGTGCCTTCAACTAATTGCCGTGTGTGGCATTGACAGCGGCTGGCCCGGCGTTCTATGCCTGATAGAAGCATGGGTTGATGCCGGGACGCTGCCACGGACATTCGAACTGCAGGCGGTTTACAGCCGGATGTGTGCTAGAACATCAGTAGCCACCTTGGCTGTCGCTGGGGTCATGTCCAATCATTGCGTTAGGCATTGCCGAGATACGTGGGCCACCGTGGGATTTTCGCGGATCAGCGCGGAGGACTCCTCTGTTCTCATACTGCATCGTATGCACCTTGGATAGCCCCGGTCAAATCAACGTGGCAAAGCTCCATAATAGAACGGCCTACGAAATCAAGCTTCCCGCGAGGATTGACCTGGCTTACACATGATCACGAGACAAGCTTCCTTATCAAGTTCCTGGTAGAAACGGATGACCGACGGTGAAAAGAATTTAAACGAGAAACTTGAATATATCATGATGTTGTTTGCAATATTTTTCGCAAAAGGACTTCGTATCTTCAATACATCACAAATATCCCGACGAGTGCCTATCGACCACCATTATCCTCCACTTAAGACCTGTGGCGTGACTTTATGATGTCGGCAGCCTTAAGCATATGAGTTAGTACCAAAAACACTAATAAGGCTGAAGACTCCGACCTTTTCGGCGACTGCGTACACTGTGGCACATATATGCGCCCCTGGGATAAGGGGCTGAATGGAAGAATCTGCCACACTGAGACCTGTGACCCCATATACCAGTAACTCCGCGCTGACCACACCGCCGAGATGTCTCGGCATCATTGGGCAAGTTCCTGAGATATGAGCGGTTGAAGAGCTGGTAGAAGAGCGTGCCTGTGCTTGCAGCTGTGCGTCGGTGGTAATGTTGACGCCAGGTGACTGCTCTACTGGCCCAAGAGTCTGCATGCTTGTGGTTTGATGGAAACGGCGGACGAATCTGATGTTCTCGGCCTGAATGGCAGCATCTATGGGGTTTGTGAAGGTACCGTAATCAACAATTGGGTCGGCGTAAATGTCGTTCGGGTCAAGAAGAATAGTCCCTCTACTAACCTCCTTGGTGAGAAGCATATGCACAGAGCCTCCTGCGAGGATTGGCAGCTCGAGCACCGCGTTGTCCAGTCGCGCCATAGAAGCCGCAAGTATTTCCCTCTGAGCCTCGTAACCTGCAATCTGTTCAGCAGTATAGTTAACCGGGAGATACTGTTTTGCATCTTGTGATCGATATGTCGTAACGATTTTCTGCCACCCATCTGGGCTGACGAGCTTTAGGGGAATTAAGCCTGCCGCGTTTCCTGTTGTCTGTGACATTGGACCTATGGAAGGTTAGATATGTCACTCTTAAATTCATTTTACTCCCTACCTAATCTATGTTCCTGCCATTCTTTCTGCGCCCAAGCCAAGAAAGTCGCATTGGCCATTGAATCAGTAGGATTGGGGAGAACGTCGGTTGTATCTAGAGATAGGTCAGCTACCTTGCACACTATTCCATTCCGTTATAAAGTTTTCAATCCTTGCATTTGAATGAGACGCCTGCAACAGGATGGTCTTGCAAATTGCTGCCGACTCCTGGCAAGTCGACTAGAACATCAATACCGGCGGCTTGAAGCAGACCTGCGGGACCGATCCCACTTCGTTGCAGAACTTGAGGGCTATGTAAAGTGCCTGCTGTAATGATGACCTCTTTTTTTGCTTTCATGGTCATGGTCCTGTCATTGTTGTTCCCGCGTTCCTGAATTTGAATACCTGTGGCATGTTTATTGCCGTTGAATAGCACCTTGTTGACTCTGAATCCGGTTAAGACTTCGAGATTCGATCGCTCCTTAATAGGATCATAGTATCCTGTTCGAGCATATGACCTGGTAATTGTCGTGTTGTCGACAGCGCTCTGCCGCAGTAAGTACGTATAAACGCTCTACTGCTTGTTAAGAGCTTACCGTGTACCAAAATACGCCAAAGGCATTACCGTCTGTTGAAAATTAGCAAAGAGGTAACACAGAAATTCGGCCCCTTACCAGCTCCATCTAATTGTGGTATGCATCCCGTCTCTACAAGCCCTTGATGTTGAATTTCTGATGTTGCAGTCTGTTAGTAGAACCAAAATAAAGATACAAGGGAGTAGACACGTACTGACTCCTGGCCACTGAAAGGGAGCATAGCTCACATGAATTGGACCGTCTAATCCATAAGCGCTCTCGTTCCACGTAATATTGAACTCCTCCTGAAGAGTTGGTGAAGGTGCCTGGAACATGGTGCTTCTGACAAAATACGGAAGTAGACCGTTCCACCCCCAGCCGCTGTTATTCAGCCGTTCCCAATTATCATAGTCATCGGCAGCACCACGATTTAGCATCATGCCGTTAATAGTAGATCCTAAGTACCGGAAATCTGTCAGTGCTCAAGGCGCTCAGGCCCAACCCTGAGGGAGAGAACTCACCTCCACCAATAACACAAGCGGCGTAGACTGACTGGCGCGAGCCACCCAATCCTGTCTGAGGAACTGAGGTCAAGTTATACATGTCCTTCCTCGGGTAGCTGGTTGCACTCTGTGGCTGTAAGACCTTCACGTCATCGTCAAAATAGCCATATTCGACGACCAACACGGTTGCTGTTATGGGAATTAGAAGTTACTCTACTAAATTTAAGTTTAGTTACATACAATCCGGGTCTTCAGACAGCCTGTTGGCTACTACCAAACCTGACTGACCACCGCCAACAACAATATAATCATATGCCTCAGTGACCTGACGAGATGTGATCTCCCGCTCCTTGAACTCGCGCTGGAACTGGGGATAGCCATTGACTATCGAGAAGAAGCAAATAATGCTGATGAGTGTCGTAATCTGGGCGCCTGTATGGCCGAGCATATTGGAAGTGTATTGGGCAATGCACAAATAAGTTAGAATGTGTAAACCTGGGTAGAGAAAGAGATCGTGGGATCTTATCAGGCTAGCACACCGTTGCCCAGATTCCGGTTTCGCAACCGCTTCTCATGCAAAAACATAGGAGTCATATTCTTACGTTTGCCAACACCATGTACATATTGGAACAATCGTGAGATATGGCCAAGCGCTGGCGCCAAGTGCTCTTCATACAACGTCACGAATGGGAGACCGTGAGGACGCGAGGTTGCCCATTATTCTAACCAAAAGAAGACTCGCCGTGATCGAAAGGGTCGTCCACCGGCAATCAGTACTACATTCCCGCATCGATATCCGACCTATAGCTCCAGCGTGACGGCCACTTAGTCGAGGTGTAACCATCGTATCTCATTTTACCCGCGTGGGCACGTGTCGAAGAAGTATTCTCTATGCGGAGAACGGCTGGGTTTGGAGAACATCAGAGGGCTGCATATCTGCATATTTCGGGGCTTGTCGTTCTGGTAGCCAATCGGGTGTAGTTAACCTTTGTGTGGTTACAGCATTCACCCATATTGATAGTTCTCTGGGCGGGCCTTTACATTTAGTTGCGTCTTACACTATGTGTCGCTGAAGACAATCCTGCGGTTGAGATATGCATGTCCGGAGGTTGCTACCCTATGCTGACGTGATGAACAAAATGTTGTCGTTCAATTCGTCCAGCCAGCCTTGTGTTACTCATCAAATAGCCTTTTAAAAATATTCTCTTGTAAAACTATCACAGCAGACAAGTCCAGCAACCACCCTAGCAAGGTGCCCGACGAAATAATGATACCATTTTTCAGCTAAATTCGCTGGGAAACTGAACTAGGCAAGTGGTGGACGACCTAACAGCCCGCCTTGTAGCGAAAGTACATCAACATCCATTAAAGCTTCCTTGTTGACTACAAGTGTTTATTGCCATTTGATTACTAGACTTGTTAGTGTCAGAAAGTAGAATAATACCCAGAATTCTACTAAGTCACATTGGAATAGTTTCTCTAGTGCCGTTGTGAACGATCTCGATCTAAAGAAGATTGCTGGATAGAAGTATGATTTTATATACCACTTAGGATTTATCTATCTTAACAGCATAAGAAGTCGATGCCTCGACTCGGTTATGGACCACTAGATGTGTCTTGTAGAGAATGGTGGCATTCAAAGCCAAACAGTCAGTTTCAGAAATAAACTCCATGATCATCTCCCCAGCCACTGTCACCGCCATGGTATTCATGACTACTTCCATGGTGCTTCCCATGGGACCGTCGGCCAGAATGATGGTAGTCGCGGCCGTAGCCGCGCCGATAATCGCTATCGACATGGTGTCGAGATGGTCGGGAGTGATACTGCCACTCGCATGCGCCAGAGTGATCTCTGACCTTGCTTGGAGTGCAGCCCATATTGTCTAAGGGTTGATTGAGTTGGTTTATTCGTGAAAATTGTTGAGCTTTGTAATCGTTCTTCTCGAGGTTTGAGTTTCGGGATAGATTCGGATTTGAAGCGCAGGATTTGGGGCCATCTTTATACTTGTCGACCAGTTATTGACATTTTAAGCTGTAACAATGTTGCGTCGTCAGAAGTGAATATTCTCTCGATCGTTGACTTGTCAGAAGGTTTCAAGATAGTACCTGGCTGCCTGTTACCGCCTTCCCGGTGAAGGGCTGCGCAATGACCTGTTACTAGTCAATAGACGGGTCATTCACGACTCGCTAGCTATCAAACTACAATGAGAGAATCACCCATGGAATCTTTCATGTTACCATAACGTAGAAACCCTACAAACTTCTTGAGCATTAATCTCTCACAAGAATTAGAACTCTACTGGCATTTAGGTTGAACTTAACTTACGTGGAATTACGCCTCATGGCCTATGGCATTGATAACGAACATTAAGCATGCCATCTCACAGTTCCTGTTTTGCGATGTGGCAATGACCTGATAAAGACGAAATGGTGCGTGGGGGATGCACTGAGTCAATGAATGGGTAACTGTAAGGTCAGTTGATGAACACGGACTCACTAGAGAACGATAATCGATAAATGGAAACTCGTTGACTGGTTTATCCGTCTTTAGATTCAACATCGTGGGAATTAGCACGACGATGATCCACCAGGCAATAAGACACTTGACTTCACTTCAACGAGATGAACAAAGTCAGAGCTGATTGGCCTGACACAACAATTCACTCGATAAATCTTCATAAGTTGCTCATGATTATCATGTATGTTCAAGCTGCCGTATGATAGCTTGAACCTCTTCCTCATCGACTTCCGATCCAGAGCTTCTGGTCAAACATGAGGAATGAAACCAGAGCCTGTGATCTTCTCCAACGCTCCGCGCCAGGAGTCTTATGTTCTGGCTCCGAACTCCTCCGCCAACTATGATTTCTATTCTGCCTTTTGCTGCGGTGATAATCTCCTTCACGGTGTCAATGTTGTCTGGTGCTCTCCCCGGGCCTCCAGATGTGAGGATAGCATCGAATCCGCAGGCTATGACATCTTCCAATGCCTCTTTCCATGGCTTGATACTGCTTGAGGTGCTTCCAATTATATCGTCGAAGGCCCTGTGAAAAACACAGCGATATGGCCTTGCTTGCTGCACCATGGCCTTATTGCGCTCAATATCCACGGTCATACCTCCAGCCTGCGATGCCTTGAGAATGCCAAATACGAAACCATCTCCCCGGTCGACGCTCAAATGCTTGCTTTCTGTAAAACATGATAGATCCTCTTTCATTAGCGTGAATTCTTGGTCCGAGTAAACGAAGTCTGGCTCAGGGGCGCTCGGCGGTCCTCGCGGTCGGATCATTATTCTGAGTGGTACACTTGACGATGCGAAGGCTTCAAGGTCCGCTAACCTTGTGGGCGTGAGACCGCCTTCTGCATATGATCCAGATGCATTGTATTCAATGCGACTTGCACCGAGACGAATAGCTGCGTGGGCCGACGACGGCGAGAACACTGGTACCTCGAGCGGTTTTGCCATTAGAAGAAATGACGAGACGAAGGTCTCTGAGAGTGTTGAAATCCTTGTGCACGCGCGTTTAGATCCCAAAAAATCATCAACCCTGGTTTGAGTTGTGAAAGCGTAGTATCCGAGTTCACTGTTTGATTAGATCACAAAGCTTGTGTGTGGTGTTGAACAGGAAGCCAGATGAGGCAGTTCGTTGGCGGCTTAGTCATCGTAGATCATCAACATCCACCCTGAGTGACTGTCAAGCTGGAAATTTTTTGGCAGGACCTCGAGATAGATGCCATTACTGGCACGTGGTGATATTAATGGACTTCGGGGAACAGTGTAAAATTTAATCTGTGCAGGTGAATCGAGTTGCTACTGTACATGCGATCTTTTTTTACTGGTTTCTTTCTCCATCCCTGAAATGCATAACACCAGCGATTTCTCTTTGCTGCAAACCTGCAATAATAATCTCAACTTCGACCTAACACCCGTACGTTATCATGACCTCCTCCAATATTCGTGTGAATGATATGATTTAAACAATCGATACGAGGCGATGTACCGCTTTTAGCTACATCGGATACTGAGCGTAGTCAGGGTATGGGTTATACTCTACGTTCGGAGCATAGCCGTACGGGTCCTCGTTGTAGTGCTTGGGCTCGTTGGAGCCATTGTACTCATTGTAGGGAGCCTGGGGATATGTAGTGTTGTAGGTCATGTCGTAGTAACCAGTGGCGCTGGTAGCGAGCTGATTGAAGGACGGCAGCGATACCTGGTAAGCTGGGGCATTCGCAACGGGAGCAGGCTCCTGGTCCTCCTCCGAATCGGAGGATCTTGGCGACGGAGTTGAGCTGGAACCGGAACCGGAACTAGAACCGGAGCCACCTGAGTCAAAGGACTGCAGGAGACGGCGACGAGTCATCTTCTGCTGCTGTCGCTCCTCGGCTGGAAACACGTGAGCAAGAGAGCAAATTTTGTGCGTGGCTAATGATCAGATGAACTTACGGTCCTGCTTGGCGATGTACGCCTCAGTGAGTCGTCGGGCCTTGGGAGAGAACTTGCGGTTGACCGCGTTCTGGAAGAAATGCTCAACTGAAGGGAGGGTCAGCAGTCGTAATAATGAAAAGAGGATAGATGGAGACCGGGGTGGAACATACAGAGCATGAGAGCAGTGTACTTGCGCTGAGCGTTGGGGCCCAGACGGGCTTGCATCTCTTTGGCGAGCTCCTTCCATGACTTCTCGGGATTCGCCTTGTCGGTACCTGCGCGCTTGGGAGATTGGGGGATGATCTGGAGCCAGAACATCCTCTCCTCTTTCTCGGTCCAGACCTTGCCACCCATTGTGATAGTACTTAGGTGGGAATGCTGGGCACCAGTGATGGAATAGTTCTGGGTTCAGAGGCAAAGAGCTTGGTGTTTGCTGGGGACAGGATAGAATGAAGACAAGTCGGAAAGAAAACACGTGAGGGAGTAGTTTTTCTAGGCAGAGTATTCACGGAGGATCAAGTCGGCCGATCCGTAGCGTTTTGTAGTGAATGGCAGAATGCACTGAGCAAGGAAAGAAAACAGTATGAGTGAATAATCTGATTCGAATTTCCTATTGTTTTCGAGCGTACGAAGACGGCTATTTAAATCAGACAGGTAGGCCAGCAAGTGGCCTCGTCTGAAGAACATCCTGTTGCCACGGCATAAGGTGCCAACAATGGCGACGACCTCGACCAGCTGTAATGGCGCTATCAACGCTATCTCGTCCGATGTCTTGAATAGCTACCTAGCAAGGTTGGTAGATCATCAATACGGAAGGACCTCTCCATAATTCCCCTCGGCAATGTGTTCTGTTGTTCAAACTAGCACATGAGCCTGTCCGATATCCTGGGTCATCAGGGACCAACTCCCGGAATGTCCAGACTCTCGAATGAGTTGGACTAGTCCAAAGAAGTGGAACTTCAGCAGTGACGCATCAAAGAGATGTAAGTCTTGATACAGGATGCGCTGTTATTAGTTGAGGCCACTTAAACCAGCTGAATATAGTAGCTAATGTGTCAGAGGATGTGACACAAAGTTATATAGTAATGCCAGTTCATACAACACTTCACTTGTATGTCAGATAGTTGAGCTGTCTAGAGTGCTTAAAGTTTAGAAAGTCTTAGAGATGATTCACTCAAAAAGACTCTTTGGCTCTGGCGGGGCATATCCCTGTTTAAGGAGATAAGGGCCAAGTCTCTGCTCTATCCTTGAAAACTTGAGATCAATTAGTGAAGTGTCATTACTGACTTTGTTAAGACTCACAATGCTCTTCTGATGCAGAGGAATGACACCATCCTGCACCCAAATACCCCAACTTCCCATCATGTTGGCCAACATCATGTCGGTGGAAAGTCTGTCGCCAACTATGGCTACCTGGTGTGGACTTGTCACGCCTGTCTCTGGGTGGTGGCGGAAATAGTCCATAATCTCAGCACCACAGCCAGGCTTCTTTGTTTGGTGAGGTAGCACCGTGACACCAGTCCCGTTCTCAACTTCTGTGGCCAACTTGCGGCTCGGATCATAGCTGAGGGCTCCTGATGTATTGGAGACAATGAGGAGCCGTCGACCAGGATACGCAGCCTTCAGGGCCTCAAATTTTGCCTTTGAGCCTGTTAGCTATGCTGTTATAACTCATAAAAGTCAAACATGATTGGAAAATTTGCAAATTCGACAAGTTAACACCCAATTCTCACCTTATAAGGCCCATAGACCTCGCTGGTCTCAGGATATGCGAAGCAGTCGTCTTTGTCTAATACCACTGCTCTGATGTCGACATCTCGTCCTTTTTGTTTGAAAGCCGAATCCAGAGGAATGGGTAGGTCATTAAAGGTAGCGATGGTGGCATGAGGGAGACATAACGATGGTCTGGAGAGAAGCTTGAACACATTCAGAGAGGCTGAAAGATTCAGATTCATGTTGGCGGTGGTTGTCACATCCAACTTGCCTTGCGAGATTCAAGATTATTGATGGCACAATCTATAAACTGAGCAGGATGACCCAACTACTGGGAGCACGTTTCTCCAGATCTCAGTGCGCCCAATGAAATTTTAGCGCTCATTTATAGTGGCTTTGAGACACTAGGCGCTAAATTTAGGGGAAAGCGCCTTGATCCGTGCCCGGGACGCGTTCAACGCGTCTAGCTCGAAAAGCTATCTGCCTTCCTAATTAATTTGCACCCTTTCAAGACATCTGTGCACACCTGTCTGAGGGACGGGATACCCGCACCCATCACAGAAAGTGTGTTCTTCATGATCATCCCGCCTTCACTCAACCAGATTAACCAGCAGTCATGAAGCGTCGGAGAGAAGTAGAGGAGGAGGAGGAGGCGGATGTGGAAGATGGGAAAAGGGCTAGAAGTACCCGAGCTCAGCGTCATCGCAAAGTGTTCCCCGACGAAATTGAGCTTCCTAAAAAGCCAACTCCTTCCAAACGGCGCCGAGCCTCGAAACCACCAGAACCTGAGAATTCCGTCGAGCATGTGGACGAAGAGATGCAGGAGCCTGTAAACAATGGCCCAGATACGACGCTGGAACCTCGGCCATCCTCAGAAGAGGATCAGGAGCCGGTGGCGCCAACCCCTACAAAACGACGACGAGGACGGCCACCGAAGAACGCTACGGCGTCGGCGCAAGCAAATGGCAAGGTCTCGACACCTTCAAAGTCGCGAATCAAGAATATTGAGACTCCAGTCAAGAAGATTGGCTTAAATGGGACCGACACTCCAAGTCGTCGCAATATCGCAGATCGATCAGCACGAAGGAAGAGTGCTAGGGCTCTGATCGATCGCGTAGTAACAGGAGGAGCAAGCGATGACGAAGGAGGCGACGATGATTTGGAGAGACAGATCTACGAATCAAGTGAATCGGACGATGAGGAGGAGCAAGGCAACGAGACAGACGAGGCCGTGGCAGCTACTCCGTCTAAGACACCTCGAGGACGGAAGAAGAGGGCCACTAGGAAAAAGTCACCAACTCCTCCTCGTGACCTGCCGGCGCATGAGATGTATTTTTACCAGAACAAGCCAGGGCTGACCAGAACGTCTAACAACACTCTTGCGTCGCTGGACTTGCTCACTCACGATGAGTATTTCTCTCTTCTGCGTGAGTACAAGGACCCTCATGCCGAGGACATTGAATTCCTCCAAGGCTTGCACGCTGAATCCTTTCCTCAATGGACTTTCGAGCTCGCCGAGGACTTTAGCATTTGTCTATACGGCTATGGATCGAAGCGTCCCTTACTCCATCGTTTTGCCAAGCACCTCTTCGCGCAGTCTGAAGACAAATCGCTGCACAAAATAGTTATCGTCAATGGCTATGTGAGAACGTTCTCTATTCGAGAAATGTTGACAACACTGGGCAATGCGATTGACCCTACCTACAAAGTCACGGCCGGAATACCAGTCGCTATGGTTAGGGATGTACTTTCTCTGCTCAAAGCGAGTGGTTCCACTCTGACGATCGTCCTAAACTCCGTTGACGCCTTGCCGCTACGGAAAGGTGGCGTACAGTCTATCCTGGCGCAACTCGCCTCGCATCCCCAAATACGTCTGATCTGCTCGGCCGACACGCCTGATTTCGCTTTGCTCTGGGATAGCGGTCTTCGATCGTCTTTCAACTTTGTCTTCCATGACTGTACCACGTTTGCGCCATTCAGCGCAGAAATTGAAGTCGTTGACGAAGTTCACGAGTTACTCGGCCGCAAGGCCCGACGCGTAGGGGGTAAAGACGGTGTCATCTTCGTATTGCGCAGTCTGCCTGAGAACGCCAAGAATCTGTTCCGGCTCCTGGTTAGCGAAGCTTTGATAACAATGGAAGACGATGGTGTAACGACAGGAGAAAGTGTCGGCGTCGAATATCGGATGTTGTACAATAAGGCGGTGGAGGAATTCATCTGCAGCTCTGAGATGGCTTTCAGAACACTGCTTAAGGAGTAAGCCTCTGCCGATTTACCAATTTCAAGCGTTTATTTGCTGACTTTTGCTATAGATTCCACGATCATCAAGTTATCACGAGCCGAAAAGACATACTAGGTACGGAGCTGTTGAGCCTCCCTTTCAGGAAGGAAGAATTAGAAGCCATCCTCGAGGATTTGATGTCATGAATTATGATAAGCATTAGCATTGCATTACAAGCGGAGTACTCATGGTCGACAAAAATATCAATGAGTAGCCACATAGATCAATCGAATCATATGATGTCCATATATTGTGAATGAATAGTCTGTTGACTGAAGAATGTTGTCCGATGGCATTTCGACGAATCTTTGAAAATAAAACTAGGTAACATCGTGTTAATATTTTTTTTGTTTTGGAATCATTGCAAAGCAAGACATGGCACTATCTTTTCAGGAGAGAAAAAAATAAACACTCATCTTTAGGCCTATCACACAAGTCGCGGTAAACCTGAAGTTCTAGAATTCACTGACTTGTTCATTCATTATCGTGTATTGAAGCTAAATCAAGTAACAACACATAGCCGGCAGCATCTAATGCACCACTTAGACCGCTCTGCATATCTATTACATGTATATACCAAACATAACGCCTACAGAGTATATATATCTCAGTCCAGCCCACCCTTTACCATGATTGTCCGTACGAGGCGAGTACTAAAGAAGACGATCATTCAGGTCATATCAACATACAGCCGTTATCTTCATGGCTGGACCAACAAGAACGCCGTCTAAATACCGAAACTTTTTACACATGTCCAGAGAACCACTGGCACCACGACGTTATCATTACCGCCTGTCAGCACCGCCTCCGTAAGGCTGGCCATCGAGGCGCAGACTCCTGTCTGCTGCATGGTCTTGGTGACACGCCACGCCGTGAGGCTCTCGCGCACGCCAGGTAAACCTCCAGCACCGGCCCCTGTAGGCGATGAAGTCATGGGCCATCCGCCAATCCTGAGCCAGACATTAGCAGCCATCAGACCGATGAAGACCGCTGTTGCAAACGCCACACTTCCTTCTATACTCTTGCCGCCGCCCCAAAGCCACTTCCGGACGCCCCACCGCCGCCCGATCAAAGACGCGGCTGCATCGCCGAGTCCAACACAGACTACGCCGGCTACCATGCTGACTTCGCGAGTGGGAACCTCCCATCCTTGTAAGAAGCCTGAACCAGTTCGCGGAAGCGAAGCTAGGCTCAACCACAAGGGGATCGCGCACCCAATCAAGAGGAAAATGTGGGATATGACAACTGGTCCACGCAAGTCTCTGCCGTCCACATAAGGTGTGAGGAATGCTGCAATGGGTTTCGAGAGAGGGGGAAGTTGACTCGCTCGAAGAAGATCAAGTAGGAGAAATACGGCGAGAATGAGAGATAATGCGAGTGCGGCGTAGGTTGGGTCGACGAACGTGGCTGGCAGGAACATAGCGACCATCATGAAATGAAAAATCTTACGACGGGTATCTACTTCGTAGATCGGCGATAACTGGAAGACAACCGCCAGACCAACGACGATAATGGCCAGCCAGTATGCGCTCAATACAAGTCGAGTGTTTGCTTCACCGAAGGCCGCATGTCGAAGATGTTGGACCCAACCGAGAGAGCATGAACTGTGATCTTCCAAATCGTAGCGAGGCGGTAGACAAACCCATCGCTCGAGATTTGCGTTGACCACTTGGAACCTGAACCAGGGGATGTCGCCAAACATATAGCCGAGAGCCCATCCTACAGGCTCTTTGCCATCTAGTGCGTATCGTTGGACATATACGCGAACGCCAATCAAGATGATGCCAATTACACACAGATAGACCCACGAGGCGTAAATCCATTTCCTCATGGTAGCCTGAGCTTGGGTCAGGGTAAAGAAAGAGCGAACGGAGGAAGAAGCCGATCTCTTACGTCGCCCTGACGGAGTATGCGTCTTAGATCGATTGGCGGGCTTGTTGCTGATCGGCAGGGTGAACCTGCGAGCCGGAGGCTTCGGATCTCCGCTACCTGTTATGTTGAACCTTACATCATTCTTCTCTGGTGATACTGGAACACTTTCAACCTTGCTGAGATAGCCACCGTCTATTCCATCCATGTGCGGCAACATCGACTCGAGAGTGGAGCTGAGCGGGATGTGGCCTTCTTCGTCTGTGCTCACGCCGGTCTCGCTGAGGGTCTCATCTGCAGCCGAGCCAAGCAGCTCGTACTTCATCTTCTTCATGGAGAAGATGTTCGCAATCATTCGAAAGACTGAGGTCTTTTTCTGAGGGGGTAATCGACGGAACCGCCATTTTGGGACCCTAGCCAAGGCAATTCCCCATCTAATTACCGGACCACAAAGTATGGTGACGCCCAAACCCCCGACCCAGAGAAGACTCTTTAAGATGACTACTTGTGGGGATTTGGCGAGAAGTAATATATTGATCAGTGCCACAGACAGCAGTTGCAGTTCTGCAGGCAATAGACTGGTGGTTGTGAGATGATGCAGTATGCGACATATTGTTTGATGTAGAGGATACAGCGCGACTAATACCTCCGGGTATTGGCTAGCATTGAGAGAAACTCTGACTGATTCGAGTCTAAGGGAGTTTTCACGTGCGATAAGTGGTGCCAGCGTCAACATCCAGTGAATTGGGTTATAGGCCTCGTAGAACCTAGTTGTCGGTATCAATGCACCTGGGATGCAGCATATGCTGAGGACTAGATTCGGAAGCAAGGCCTCAAATAAATTGACTGAGATCAGAAGGGACACAAGAATAGGTATCGTGGGAGGATAAAAGACTGGCGCAGGGTCGAATGAAGACGGAACTTTGATAGGGATCGGTGTCGAGGGCGCGCCTCGCCTATATGCCCATAGTATCAGGCGGAGAGGGTAGAGGAGCAAGAGTGTGGCAACCAGTGCGCCTTGAATGATGAGCTCCCTTCTCCAGTATATTATAGTTGGTTTGACACTTCGATTCGAGCCGACAAATCCACCCAAGCAAGCGAGGATGACCACTTCAGTCAACCGTCGAATGATCTCCCTCCTTCTCCGTATGTTCTCGGTGCGCTTCCCTTTCAGAGTTGAATCTTCTGAGGGATCGCGTTTCTTCTTTGTCGGGCTTGGCTCATGAAGGTCATCATCGAATACAACCGGTGCCAGTTGTGGGGTGGATGATCCAGATAGAGGCTCATTCTTGCCACGTAAACCCTTGTGTAGTCGCACTTTAGGAGCCGGCAGTCCCTTCAGGAAATGTTCATCATCTGCCTCTGTGCCACTATCGCTAGATGGAGTGGCCTCTTTTGAGAAGGAGGGGGGCGCAAGAAGCTGATTATGAAGGTCCTGGGACTTTGCGCGATAGACAAGCTGATCGGCCGGATGAAGGAGCTCAAAGTTCTGGCGATGGTAGGGATGAGGCGAGCGGGAGAGGAGTCTCAAGCTATCGATTTCGTCTGTCGCATCATCGCCTGCAATAGGCGCTGTTGGCTTGAGGTTTTCCGACATGACGAGATGTTGGAATTGGGAGCTTTAGAACCGGGAAGACACTGCATCGAGACGGACACTTTCGAGGCCAGATGTAAGAGGCAGGACATCTGACGATGCTGCTGCAAAGGGTCATGAAAATAGACAGAGTGAAGTTACCGAGACCCACATAGTCAATGGGTATCTTTTCAGGATCGTGTTGTTGACATTGTGTGGTGGCAGGTGAAAGCTCCCGGCATTCACATGCTTCGTTCGATGTCAGCTGCCGCGTGGTCGCATTTCAAGCTCCAGTGGTGCCAGTCCCTGCTGTAGAACCACAATTTCCAGGTGTGGCTGGAGCTCATCACGTGAAGCACATGAAGCACATGAAGCACAAGGTGCCTTCCCTTTCTCCCTTCTCTCTAAAGACAAAGGAATCCATAGGGCTCTTGTGTAAATTCACAATGCCCTTAATCTATAGGAAGAATCTGTGGATGATTTCTGCCATGAGCAGGGTCGTTGTGCTCATTCATTCTTCAGACCAACGTTTTCAGCGGTATGGACCTCTCTAGACTACCTAGGTATCACTTGCTGTTCCTCACCAGTAATTGAAGAGCAGCCTTCAAAGTGCTTTTCAAGACCTTGGACCACGCCTCGAAAGCTGGGAAGTTGCGGGCTTAGATATTCACACATTGATCTAAGGGAGTAATAATCTATGATGGACCTGGAAGTCGGAACTATTTCTCCCCGGATCTGACTGTTCACTTGCACACGGATTGGCCTTCCAGCTGCCCCGGATTGAAGTGGCGGGTCCAAAAATAGAACACTGCTCATCGCGCCAAATTCGAGGACAAATAAACGGTCGACGATTCCACCTTGTGCATCTTTCCTGCATTCAGGCTCTCGAAGCAGTTTTTTCTTACACAGTCTTCGTCGCCTCGATCGCACTTAGAGGAGCCTCCGCAAAACTCCAGCGAGCGAACACGCATAATCGGCATTAGGACGCATCTCACGCCTCCTTATGGGGCACACAGGCCACAGTGGGCCAATACGAGCAACCTGTGACGTTGACAACCCAATTGACTTGGCAAACAAGAGCCAAAGTTTGAAGATGGACCTGATTGCGCTCTGTGGCCATGGTCGATGACTGGGCATTCTGCCCTTGTTGTCATATCATCACATTCAGGCCGGACCTACGAGCGGTACAGGTTGTTTCAGCGGAAGCACGGTCGCCAGACTGAGGCACTTCAAGGAATTTTAGGAGTGCTCGCTCCTGCTCGATGGCTTACCAGGCTGAAGTAGCTGAAATCAAGGTCCAGCTCAGCTACGATACTTGGCCAGACCCAGCCTAATTGCCAATGCCCGGCATCCTAGCAGCCGGCACTTGAACAATTGCGGGCCACTAGAGAGCCGATGACGTGCGATGTGAAGATGATTCGGAACTCGGATAGCATCGATTTCACCCTCGAGATTGAGCCAGACGGCCAATCGCCAGGAGCAGAGCAATCCGCTTCGGGATAACGTTATCATGATGATGGAAGGTTGACCAAGGACGATTGAGACTGGCCGACTTTCCGGGTTACAGAACGAGACAAGATGATAGATATAGCGCGAGTGCCCGCCAACACCCATGCGCAAATCACCTAAGGTGGCATTAGTTAGCTGGTACAGTTTCGGCGGTGGCTTCACCTCAGCTTCTGTTGCATGTGCAGCATGTGTGCAGCATAATTTGTCCGCTTCTTCGTGTTGCTCGACTAAGGCAAGGCGGCGGCGGCATGGATTCTCCTCGGTCTCTTGATCCCCAGTGCTCGTAGGCATTAGTTCCAGCACTCGGCGTCTTACCGTGCTCTGCCGGCGCTGCAGTGACTCCTGTTTCTCCCGTGTGTTCCATACTCTACATACAAGCTAAGCTGTGCGAGCTAAGGTGGACTCCTCCCGCAATACGAGGCACAACACTTTTTTTCTGCCGGCCCCTCCCCATCACGGCTGCCCGCCACCTACTTATCGACACCGTCGATTCTGATGTGGATGCGAGTGGTCTCTGGCTTCGTAAGCTTGTGCGGCTGCGGCCGAAGAACGAACAGCGGCCAGTGTGTCAGAATTGCACTTGCGACGACAAGATAGAAAGCCCATTGGTGTAATACGTAGCAATCGTGCACTGTTGCGTCGTTGCGACTGGAATACGAGCAAATCATGATATCAGCGTCCCAGACTTTTGGCAATCCGATCTTCAAGAAGGAGGAGAGGCTCCTCTTCCTCACAAGCCTCTGGCAGCTGGGATGGCACGCACTGGCGGATCACTCGTGCAACAGACCGAACAAACCTATCTGGCACACCCCTGTAAAGTACCTGGAGGGGCAGAGGGGGCAAAAGCTCGTCTTTGCCAGGTTGTCAGCCCAGTTTGCCCAGCCATTTCTCTCCAGACCCTGGTCGGATCTCTCGTCTGCAGCATCATGATCCCTGGCCATAGCTTCGAAGCGATGCAGCAAGACTCCACCTCGTCTTCTCCCAGCATTGGCTCCCGCCATTCGCCTTCGGACAAGCCCAGAGCTTTATATGCACGGCGATCCCCTCCCAGACACTTCACTCCAACTTGAAGCCCAACCACAGCGCGCCGATAGTTTGTCGTTGCCACCTGCAGACCACCATCAGCCGCGAAAATAGCCATTGGCAGTTGGTAGCGTCGAAATTCCCCGAAACAGTTCCTTCTTTGCGGCGGACCGACGAAACAGCACGAGGCGGTGGCTTGGAGGTTGTTCGAAGAGCAGCAGGAAGGGTCCAAAAGCAAGCCATCTGCAACTACATTCATCTCAGTCAGCTTGTATCAGGACGAGCCAACGCCCTCTCCTAGCTGTGAGCTCGTGTACCGGTCCCAGCTTTCACTCGCTCAGCTTAGGACTGGCCCAACCTGCACCATCTGACGCCGCCGTTCGTTCTTCCGCTGTACGGTGACCACGTACTCCCGGAATTCGACTGTCGTCTCCGCGCCATTCAAGCATCCTTAGTTCCACGATGCACGTTGAGGCGGCACTAGACTGATCGACACACCTTCTCTGTAGCCTCTTGGGCCTGGGTTCTGCCGTTGAGCGGTCCCACCTGTTGGCACTCCCTCCCACCACTGAGTTGCGACTTGGCTTCGGTGAAATAGGCCTTGCTGCCCTCCATTTAGGAGACATGACTCCTATCCCAAATCAAAATGCTGGGGCTCTCGAAGCCGGGTACCCAAGCGCTTCCCAGGAGAAGGCGTCACTCCAAGAAGACACGGACTATCGAGCGGATGACCATCAACAGCTTCTGAGGCCAGTGGATCAGACCAATATGGGGTCGATTCGCAAGATGTTGCTGGCCATGTTAGTTTGCCTTTTGGTGAGCTTCGGCCTAACAACAGCCATGATGCCTGTACATCAACGCGGAGAGCCTTGCCATAAGAACAATGGAGAGACTCAAGCACCCGAGGCTGTAGGTGACCAGTCCCGTTTCACCTCACTTCTCGGTGCCGCCTCCGCCGATTCTCTCCATGAGATTCTCCAGAAATATTTCCCAAATCGGTACAGGCATGGGGTGTGGTCATCGGAGCATCAAGCCATGGAGGCCGTTCATCGAGACGATGCTGCTTTGGCGACGTCGATGGTGCAACTAGCGAAGCGTCAGGATTCGGGCAACAATGCCACCTCCACAACGGAGCCGCCTCCACCTCAGGACAGCACAACCACTCCACCACCAGTCACGGAGACCACGCTTGTGACCGTTACGGAGACTGGTGGAGCGGTCACCACCAGCACCATAGTGACGGTGACTACACCTCCGCCCGTGGACACAACATCTTCACAACCGCCCCCTCCGCCGGACAGTACAAGCAGCTCAGATCTGCCGCCAACAACATCCTCTGAGTCCGAATCCCCGGCGCCAACGTCAACATCTACCTCCACTACTCCGTCTTCTACCGACACTTCTCCTGGTACGTTGACTTCTCCAGGTCCCGCCACGACCTCTTCTTTGACCCCTGCTCCATCTTCTACTCTTTCTTCTAAGGGGGCGACGTCCTCTAGTCGCTCCTCATCCTCGTCATCTCGACGCGGTATGTGGGCACTCCTCGGTCTGCTTTCTTAAATGATTTCTTAAGATGCCTTGACTGGCTGCGTTGGGCGGTGCTGTATTTGCGAGCCGAAGAGCTAACATCTCCTTCAGATACCTCGACAACCTCGACAACGAAGTCTTCAACAACCGAGACGTCGTCTCAGTCTTTGCAGATGATAACGTCAACCTTCACATCAACACTCTCGGGTGGCGAGGTCTCCATCGTCACTCGAACATCTTTTGTAGGCGGTAATCCCGCGCAATCGGATGCTGCGACCTCGACAAGACCAAGCGGCAGCCTTCAAACCAATGCAGCGGACTCTCGACCGAATAGAGTCGTCGAAGCTGTGGTGGGCGCGATTATTGGAGGCGCGATGCTGTTGTAAGAGTGCAGTGCGCCCGCACTTGGACAGCAACGCCATAAGCTATTCAATATGGCATTTTCTCAAATTTCGCTGCACATTGTACCTGGCCGGTTCCTTCTCACATTCCTTTGCATAGCGGCGTGTCTGGGTGGGGCGTTTGTTTTACCTTTCAGGAACCGGCATGTGAATACATTGCAAACACGACCGGACATGATCCATGAGCATCAATTTCCCCTCCTTTCGACTAATTATCGCATGGGTTTTGTTTCGGGAAATAAGGATAGACGCGAATAACAAAAGTCTCACGAATTTCTCGAGAATGGGGACGAACCACCAAGTAGGACGGGACACAGGGGCTAGCTCAGCTAGGTCCAGGAAGAGGAAAGAGGCATCATGATAATTGTCTCAAGTAATAGATTAGTAGCTGTAATGAAATCAGCAATAAGAATTAGGAATAGATGGTTGGATTTGCCACCACTCTTCAGTCCAAACTTCGCTTCATTCATTCGGCCAAGGATAGTTCGATGTTCACGAATTGCTCCACGTCTACGCTAGTATCTCGTGCACTATCTTTCGAGACGGCTCGTCTAAACGAGGAAAGGGACCCTTCGAGGCCTGCGGGCCACGCGCAGATCGTAATTCCAAACCGGGCACAAGATCTGACCTCACTGTGGCGTAGATGGTGCTTTGTCGTATTTTGTCTACAAAAATAAAAACAATCCTGGGTATACCAATAGCCAAACAAAACAATATACCGGAACCGGAACCCATGACGCCTCTTCCTCATGCAGGTGACCCTGTGGCTGGCCGTCTAGCCCGGTCCAATCTTCGGCATGTCATGATGCTCGCTTAGCTTGGAGAGGTAGGTATTCAACTCCTCAACCCGCTCCTTGTGCGTCTTCAGCAGCTCCGGTCTGGAGTTGGCAGACTCGGATAGTTCCAGAAGCTGTTGTTTGTTTGGGTCAGCATCGAAACACCACGAGGTGGTGGTGGGGGGCAGGGCCGAAACCCATTCAAGGGGGGATGTTCTTCGAAAACGCACCTTCTTACGACGAGCTTCCTCGAAGCGTCGCTCTGCCTCCGTCTTTCTATGCTGCGGGACACTATCCTCCTCCTCTTCAGGCTCTTCGCTAGGCTTCGCCCTCGTGGCTTCATCATCCTCTGCTTCCTCAGACTTGCGCTTCTTCACGACCTCGAGGTCTTTCGAGGATTCGCCAGTAGATAGGTTCTTTTCGAGGTCGCTACCCTTATCCTTCTTCTTCTTGTGCTTCTTCACCTTGCCGCCTTTGAGGCGCAAGGCGCCAACCGAGGCGTACTCGTCCGATGGCATTCTTGCTGTCCTGCGAGCAAGGGGGAAAAGAGGGCAATGGAGGTACGCGAGGCGCGAGAAAACGTTGAACGCAGTCCAATCAGATGGCTTGAAAATGGCCAGACTGACGCTTGCGGACGGCTTATGTAATGAGTGCACGGTCCTTCACATGCTTTCCTTGATAGCACCTATTCTCTGGGAGTTGCCAACAAAGAAAGGGATTCTTTCCCAGTGTGTCTTCTAGTCTATTCAACGTGCCAGTATCAATCAAGCTTACATGGCAAGTCCGTGGTGCAGCTCCGCCATTGAGTTGCTCAACGTGCAAAGCATGGATTAAAGCCGAAAACATCCACAAGGCTAGCATAGCTTTTCGGGCGACGAAAGCCGGTAAATGACACTGGATCAGAACCGAGACATGCCTAGAGGAGCTTCGAGTGGTGTTGGACTAGAGATGTAATCTCCTCTGGTGTCACTAAGACGTCGGTGGCGAGCCCAAAGGCATGGCTCGAGTCCCCCGTTCACGGCCACCTATGCGGCTGGAATGCAACCCAAGTACGAGTGCCCACATCGTGTTATTGTTGACATCCGGGACCCCTCCCCCGGAGCCTTGGAGGCTCCTCTCGACACGAGACTCATGATTGTCCGTCGATTGTCCGTCGCTTCGGCAGTTGGTAGGCGAGCCCACTACATACACCAATGCATCGGGAGCACCCGTATAGCCCTGCAACTCTGTATAAGCTTCCTCTTAGACTGAGGCCCAGAAGCATGTGGGGATGTGAAGGTTAATGTGACGACCAACTTGACGTGGGGACAGATGACATTTGTTTACTACACTAAAGCAGCATCATTTCGTATATATCTAGCGAGTTTGTAAACAAGACGCATCCAGACAACTTTTCATCGAGGCTATATGTTTCGAAGATATCCGGAACGGCTATAGTGAAAGGCGGGAAGTCGGGTAGCCGCAGGACATTTACCGTTGTTGGTATTGACGGAGTAAATGAAGAGAACGCCACCACATCAGCCGCTAATTCGAGGCCAATCTGGCCTATCCCAGCATAGGGACTTTTCTATGGCAATTGCGCTTGTTCATTGCCATCAAAACACTGATAGTAATAATCTGTTGATCGTGCCCAGGCCAGAGATCGTGAGGGTTAGGGTTATAGTAGACCTTGAGGCTGTAAGAGGCCTAGCGGCACAGCGCAGTTTTTGTGGGCCGTCGCCTGCCATATTTCTATGCCCCGAGTTTGGAAAATTCTGTCTTTCTCCCTTTCCTCTCCTTAGATCAAAAAGTATACACAGAGTTGCCACGACCGTCACTTCGCACACCTACAGTGGCGCGTTGCCTGTTTTTCAAATGAAGAACTACTCTGGAGATCGAAATCCTCGATTAAGGAAGTCTCTCGCTTTATGCGCCGTGGGTGAGAGATGCCAATGACGGGAGACAGCTCCAAATGTCTTTCTTCGCCGAGTGTGTCTGACCGGCCGTCTGTTTCGGTCGACGCCCGCAACGAACGCCAGCAATTTTAGAAAATGTGCCTCCTGCTCCGAAAGCAAAAGCTCTGTGATCCTGCTCAGTGATTGGACCATTCTTTACTGGCAAATCAGTTGCACGCCGTCTGGACGTTGCCGGTAGCGTCGGGTACCTGGCAGACAAAATGTGTGTCAAGCAGCCACAGTACTCCTCCAAGCGAACATGTTCATGTGCCCTGCATACTGGCCAACTACGATGATCATCTGCACTAGCAGAAAGTGCCGACCGGGAAGCACTGTACTCTCTGCCCTGTGGGTTCGAGTGGACCTCTGTCGCGTTCGACATGTGCGCACAAAGCACCTGGGGCACCGTGAAGCTCGAAGGTCTCCCGCAAAGTTGCGATGGGGATGAGGAGTCGGGTCCACCGCCTGCCGCGTTGTCTCAGATGAGTCGCGATGCACTGCTGAAGGTTCACCCAAACTTCCTGGAATGCACCTCCGGTGCAACTCTGTTGTGATCTCTGCCGTCTCTGTTAGCGTCGCTACTCAGTGAGCAACCGGATCATGGAATGCATCTTCATGTCCTGCCATTCTTGTGGTCGCGAGGCTGTCGAGAAGACGGGACGTCGTCTAGGTAAACTCTATCCGGGGCTGATTGACGCGATGGAAGTTATCCTTTCCGTTTGCATTATAAGACGGCTTCCTCTAGCTGTTCTGTTTCCGGCACTCGTCTCTCCTCAGCATCCTCCACTCTTTTATTAATACTGACTTCAGTCACTCGTTCCTGAGTCTTATAATATCGTCGCTCGTTTAGACGCACCACCAGTCGCTCTTTAGCCCCCAGTTTCTGTATCCATCGCAAATCATTCGCTTTTTTTGCAACCAAAATCAACCGACAAGATGAGGTTAGTTGACGATGATGATTCTCACTGCTATCGTTGCTGTTGGCTCTTACTAAATCTTTCATCAGTCTGGGACAGTTGACATCCTCGGAGTTCCTCTCCTGCACTCCGTATCCCGAGACGGTCACTCGCACTGCCACGACGACGGAGACTTTCACCACCACCTACTGCGTCACCTACCCGGCTGCGTGCCCGACCAGCGAGTGGCTCGCGACCTACACGGTCGTTGAGGTGTGCACCGGCAACCCGGCTACCTGGGTTACACCAGGTGTTCCCCCCAACTTCGCCGTCACCACCGTCACCTGCGATGTTTGCGAGCACCAGACGCAAACCATCACAGCCCCGGTTGTCCCGGCTGCGGCTACGGGCACTGTCACTGTCAACGGCAACGGCGTCACAATCACTCCTGCGGCAACAACCGGCGTTGTGGTTGCAACCAGCCCGCCAGGCGGTGGTGTCGTCACTGCTGGCGCCCCGTCGCTGAAGAGGAGCTTGGGTCTGATGGCGGGAGTTGCTCTCGCCCTCGGCCAGTTCATGCTGTAATGTGGAGGCTCTGCATGGGGAATGTTCATTTCACGCTACGGAGAATTAACTAGTCGGTCTGGGGGTTTATGCTTAATCTTACATTCGGGTTCTAATAATTCACGGACAATCTTACGAGTCATGTCATTTTAGGACGGCGAGAAGGTTTGGCTAAGCAACAGAGTCAATAGACTTTGATTTTGGTTCATAATGGTTCATAAGTTAAGGTTTGCGTTATACTGGGAGTTAACTGTTTACTACCGTGCCTCAAGTTTCTAAAAATAATGGAGGAGCACCCTGTTCAACCGTAACCTGTCCTGGCCTTTGCTGATTTGAGTTGAAGCTATCATTGCTCCCGTCTGCCCCCCGGTGAATCCATTTGCCCCTTCGGCCCATAGCTCCCATGCTGTGAAAGCCTACTCCATCTGCCCGTCGGGCTTCTTGCTGCGATGCTGGTCACGTACGAATTCCTCTATCTGTAGGTCGTGGTCGGGCCGCTCAGGTGGGCCTGGAATGCTGGTCTGGGGTGCAGTAGTCGACTCTTCCTGCGTGTCCTCCTTGCCCAGCATCTTGCCCAGCGCGGGGACATACTGAGACACTTACGTGCCAACCACCGTTAGAGCGCGCGTGCATGCGAATTATGTGGCACGACCGTTTGCCATGTCCCGTACTCACCTGTTTCTATGGCTGCGTTCGTATATGATCCGCTGCCACTGTCATCACCACTGGTATTCTCGTTGTGTTGCCCACGTGCCTTGATCGCAACTTCGTCCAGTTTGCCCTTGTAGTCTGTGTTGATCTTCTCTATGTCATTGCTGCTGTCTTTGCTGTCTAGATTCGGCTTGTCATTGGCCTTCTTCTCATGATGATGCTTGATCGGATGAGGTAGGTGAGGCATCTTGGTCAGCAAGCAGCGGCAATTTGGGATGTCTATGAAGTCAAGCTAGTAGGAGAAGCCGTAATTGATTGCATTTAAGAACGAAAGCCACAGGGACATCGTTTTTGGGGAGCTAGCATTGGCCTTCTGGAAGAGTTGTGGCTTGGAGGTTGTAGGTCTCTTAAAGTGGTCCAGGCTCGCTGCTTCCCTCTGACGTCAATCTGGGGCAGCATATCCTGGTCCAGTGGCCCTATAACTAACACGCGTCACCGTGCACTTGGCGAGCTGAGAGGTGCTTGGCTTACGGTCGCAGGGCCCAATGAATGCGCCGTCGCAGTGGCCCGCAACTGAAGCAGCACTCTCTCTCATCGGCGATCGCGCGCTTATTCGGCATCAAAAGAGCCTCCCCTGGCTAGTCAACTAAATGGATATTCGAAATGCCATGTCGGACAGGCGACTTCAGCGCTGTGCCGGATTAGCAGCGCTGGAATGGGCCGGCAGTGCTTCTTCGTGTCAATTGCTGGCGCCGGCACTCGGCACACGATCCCTGTCGCCGCGATAACTTTAAAAGGTGGCTCTTATCGCTCACTGCTGCGCCTGCCCCTCGCCTGCTTTCGGCAGGCGGTCAGGCAGCTTTTTTCCTTGCGTCCCCTTTTCTGCCCCAACCTTACGTTCCATCTTGTCGCGCCATTTATCGGAATCTGTCTGCATCATTGCGCATTTCCATTCCAACTCGTTCTTCACTTTGCGTCTTCCTTAGGTGATAAGCGCGTGTGTTCAACGCATAGTCGTCCCCGCCCCGCTGAGCTCGCGATGGCGCCGATCCCAATCACCATCATCACGGGGTTCCTTGGCTCTGGGAAAACCACGCTCATTCTGAACCTCCTACCACAGCTGCGCCAAGCCAATCCGGCTTACAAGCTCGCGCTGCTGAAGAATGAGTTCGGCGACCTGGCCGTCGACTCGCAGCTCGCCTCGTCCAGCGCCATCTCCGGCGTTCAGGAGATGCTCAATGGCTGCATCTGCTGTAACTTGGTCGGCCAGCTCAGCCAGGCGTTGAAGGAGCTGCAGGCGCAGGTCCGCCCGGACAGGATTATAATAGAGACTTCTGGCTCGGCCTTCCCTGCCACCCTCGCGCTCGAGGTGAACCGCCTTGCTCGCGAGACCGGTGACTACACGCTGGACGGCGTAGTCAGCGTGATCGATGTCGAGAACTGGAAGGGCTACGAGGACACTAGCTACACGGCCAAGATCCAGGCACGGTACACCGATCTCATCGTCTTCAACAAGTGGGAGGCCTGCGACGAGCGGCGCTTTGACGAGTGTCTGGACCGCGTGGGCGATCTTGAGATTGAGACAGCCTGGGTCAAGAGCCGCAAGGGGTGGGTGTCTATGGATGTCGTCTTCGGTATTGACGGCGGCCTTGCGCAAGAGCTGACGGACGAGCCTGCGAGCCACAAGCATGACCATTCACATGACCACGAGCATAGCCATGATCACCAGTCCGAAGTCGAGGTATTGTCCATTGTCCTCGATGGTCCGAAGGGGTTAGGGGTCAATGCCGACAGTCTTCAGAAGCTTCTCAAGACAGCTTCGAAAGAGGAAGTATACAGGATCAAGGCAATTCTGACTGCCTCATCAACTGTCCGGAATTCGGACGAGGACGAGAACAACCCGACCCCGCCACATCCACAGAATAGATATATTCTGAACTGGGCTTTTGGTCGCTGGACTTTTACACCTGTATCCGGAGATGTTGGAGAGCACGAATCAAGTGATCAGAAAACATTACGCATGACAATGATCTTAGCACGATACGAGAGCACGAAATGGAAGAAGAGATTAGAGGAAGGCGGTCTATTAGAACTAGACGGCGACGATAAAGGCAGCTTGTCTGTCACGAAGATATCATGATGCATTACAGATCGGGATTGCAATAGAACGAACCTGACATGGGTATAGATGGAAATATTAATGAACTTTGTACATAGATGTACGCTGCCTTGCAATACCGCGCGACGTGGGCATGTTCGACATCCCTGACATGTCTCACATCAATCATATCTGAGATCGCGTCAAGGGCGAGTCGACATACTCGCCGTAGATCTTGTCAAACGGATCATAAAACTTGCTGTCTCTGATGGTGTCTGGATGATGAAACAGACTGGGGTTCAGAATTGGTGAAACTGGTGCATTCTTGTCAGATTGCGTGGAGCCGTCACTTCGCAGCTCGCGGAAGTAGATATCGTCCATGAGCTGATCGTATGGATCTTCATTATTCTCAAGAGCCTCCCAATCCGGTGGAATCACCTGAGGAGTCGATGACCTCACATGACCGACGCGAATAATACGGCTCATGTCCCCGTCGAGGTCGGCTGGACTTTGTCTGCGCATTCGTCTCTCAAGCAGAGTCGAAGCAGATGTATGTCGAGAGGTTGGCGCCTCCGTGGTTGTCCGTGGGACCAATGGAACAGAGACTTTGCGAGGGGCAGCGTCCAGCGCGATAATCCTCATCTGGTGCGCGACGTGACCGGCACTTGGAGTTGGCGAGATGGTGGCCGACCTGTACGTTTCTGTATTGTCCGAAAGCAGAGACGGAGTCGGAGATATGGTGGCTGTTCTATAGAGCGGCAGGTCCAGTCGCTCCGCGGAATGCTCACGCGCCCGCGCGAGTTCGTCTTCCCGTGTCCTTATCTGCAACGCCAGGTCGGCGCTGATACGCGCATCAACCTCGGGTCGAAATACATCCTTTGGTACCATGAAGTCTTGGACGCACTGAGGACACAAACCGCCCGGCCCAGGAATGCCCAAGTTGCCGCAGAGGCGACAGTTTGTCCGCTTGCTTATATAGACAGCCGCACCTCCCATCGCCTTATGCTCCTTCTCGAACTCCCGATCTGCCCTCCGTCGAATCGACTCGGTGCCCGGGGGATACTCAGGATCGTCGCTGTCGGTGTCTTCGCCGTCATTGGCCGCCAAGCTCCCGAGGCTCGTCTTCTTACTAGGTGCACCAGGCCACAGCGTCACATGCTTGTCATGCCGAGAAGGCGGCGGTGGTTGGCGATAGACTGCACGCGGACTACTAGGTCTCTGTCGTTGCACGACAGCTTCGTCCGTCAGGGGCCAGGAAGGGTTGCTTCGGTTCGTCAGCCGTTGCGGCGGCTTCGGCGCACTTCGAGGCTGCTCGTACCTGCTGCTCAGTTGCATTTCCGGCGTTTGGCTATACGGGACAAGTTGTGTATTCGTCTCGCTCCTGGCGTCGTACGGACTTCTGGGAGAAAAGCCTCGGTGCTGCGCTTCTTTGTCTCGTAGTGCCATGATGAATTTGACGCACTCGTCGTCTTCTGGTATCTCGGGGCTGCCTACAGGCGTGGCCCGAAACCTGTCGGGAGTATGTACGATCTGGAACTCGGCTTCGGGGCGCTGGCCTCGTGGTGAGGATTTGCTGTTTCTGTCCCTGTTCGGAAGCACCAGAGTCGTCAGGTCGGAGAGCTTTTGTGTCAGTGTTGGTCTGGCACGACGATTCTTGCTATCGTTGAATGGCTGTCTATTTGTCGACATAGTCGGTATGTTGATGTGTGATGGATTTATTGCGAAGGTATTAGTAGATGAAGGGAAGTCCATCAAGAAAAAGGCACGTTTCGCAAGTTCTGGTCCATGTTTTGGAGGTCGAGCGAAATCAAACAAAGACGCCGTGACTCGAGACAAGTAAAAGGTGAATCATTGCTATTGCGTAACATTGGATGATACTGTCTACCTGTATCGGTTTGTTCATCCCTCGTAAGTGTCTAAAAGGACAAAGAAATCGAATGGCTGTTGTATGTCTATCGTCCCGAGGCCAGGCCTGCTTTCTTTGTTCTCCATCCTGCAAATAATAACAATGCACATTTGACGCCTGTTCGTTCCTCTGAGCCATTGTTTCAATTGACAATAGCCGATGCATGTTTCAACTTTCTCACAGGCTTACCGTGACGGTCATGTTATTGGACAAGACCAACAGTACTGGAGGGAGGTCATGAGTGAGGACCTCCACATCGGACAGATACCTCACGCTGGCTTCCTCGCTCTCGCATGTGCCCTCCTCGGGTATAGGCAGTGTCGTCAAGACCACTGCCGCATCACTGCTGTTCTGGCGCATGAGCTCGTTCAGTATCAGGTACTGCGCCCTGCTAGGTAGATCATTGAAAGAAAGGGGCAGCCCTTGACTGGAATAGCTGGAGCCACTTGCATTGTCTTCTGCAGTCTTGAAATTGTAGTTCATCAGTAATTCCGGGATGTTGATTTGAGCATCTGTCGGCTCATCCCGTCTTGAAGGAGACGTGGCCCGCTCGCTATACTCCGGCTCTGCGAATGACACGGTCGGTCCAGCTTCACCCTCGGATCTAATCTTGGTTTCGGGGATTGGCCTGCTGGAGAACCGAGCGGCTGAGTTGGTCCTGGACATAGCCGGCCGCTCACGCGGTGCTTCTGTCTCGGCAAACATGATGGTCGGGCCAGATCCTTCGGGACTGGTAGTGACCATTGTCTCTGGCAAGAGACTGCTGGAAAATTTCTTTGCATAACTTGACTGCCGCGAGAAGCCGGGTCGTTGCAGGTTTAACGACGACTGTGTTGCTGATTGTGATTCTGAATTTGCGTTGCGTTTCTGCGCCTTGCTGGGGGTTGTAGGCCGGGATAATGATTTGTCCAAAGACGTCCCTGATTTAGTATGGCCGGAACTTGGACCTATGTTATCATCATTGGAGTAGCTACCAGCTGGCAGGGTCTGGGATGACATGGTCCCGTAAGACTGATTCACAGCTTCTGTGGACTTTGATAATTGTTCCACTGAGATGTTTCTCCGAGCAGTCGGTCGCTTAATCACTGTATCTCCTTGACTTCGCCGCCGATCTGATAACAGCGGACGTCGAACAGGTTCAAAATCCTCAAGATCGCCTTCGCTGGCAGCACTCGCTACATCGTTGAAATCTGCATCTAAATCGCTTCTAGAGTCACCGCTCTCGTCTTCGCTTTCCAGGTTGAGATCTGTGGCTGAACTATCATCAAACACATTTGGTGGTAAGTTCTGTGTGTGGATGCCCATGTTGACGCCGAAGCGGGCGAGCGTTGATACGGTTGGCTTTTTTGGCAACTCTGGGAGGCGAACCATGCTAGGGCGCCGTCTCTCTCCATAGTCCTCAGGTCCATTATGTGGGTTGAAAATACCTGGCCGTCCTGCAGTTGATTCGACAATACTGGCTAGCGATGCCAGCTCCTGCGATCCCGTCATGGATCTGGGCCGGCCACGAAATTCCTGCAGTTGGTCCCACCAGTCCGCATCTTGAAGGCATTCATTGACTGCTTCTTCAACAGCCAAGTCGATGGTGCGCCCCTGGATGATAGTCTCGTACGTGGCCAATTGCCCGCTCGCTAACCAAAAGACAGCGACTTCAGCCTCAATCCTTAGTTTATCGAGTAAAGCCTTGACTCGAGCCCGCTCAGCGTCAACTTCACTTTCGTACTCAACAAAGACCAATATGCGAAGATTATAAACCCGCTTCCATGCTGGAACGGTATGCAAAATATAACCAAGTTGCAAGATTAGGGTATCTGTCAATAATTTAGGACGTGATATTCTGACAACATTTGAATAGGCTTACACGTATCGAAATTTGTTGTTAAGACACTCTTCCCCTCTGCCTGCAACTCTGCGGACATCTGAATAGGCCACAAGTCGATGTATTTCCTCGAATTACCGCCGTCCTTTCTAGGGGTCTCTAGCTTATCAAATCCCTTTCCGACGGCGACGTTGAGGCGAAACCTGAGTGTAAGGTCTTCTAGGATAGTGAGATAGCTTGTCACATCCGTCATGCCCTCCGTTCGGATAACATCCGTTGGGAGATGTCCCTCCATCAAGCGTGCAGATGTATCTCCTCGTCTCCGCGCTGGACGTTTCGACGCTTTGCTTTCGTGGTTCGATTTCCTGCGGGTAAGCTTGACGGGCGATGTCGGCACCCCAGGGGCTGCAATGTCTGGGCGGATTTGTCTGAGTTCGTCCATGTTATAAAATCCCAATACAACAATGTTGGGCCGCATTCCACCTAGTCCTGCCGACAAAATCAAGTTGCGAATACCCCATTTGATAGAAGGAGACATGGTCAATTGAACAAATGCCTTGATCCGAGAAAATTCGGAAATGTACTTCATCCACGCCGCCTGCTGCAATTTTGCCTCCTGAACCCCGGATGCAAAGTCGTTGGTGACAATGACATGTCCCAGGATATACAATGAACCTTTCTTCATGGAGTTGCAGAATTGAATGAGACGTGTTTGACGCCTGGGATCATTAACCAGGAGAATGATCTGGGGACGCCAGAATTTAATGTGCTCGGGCTTGAGTCGCAAAAGGTATTTGCGGACTTGGTGGTAGATAAGGTTCTGAGAAACATCTCCCCAGTGTTTTGGAGGACTGAGGTAATGAATGAGAAGAAATAGGAATATGAGCATGCAAATGGCGGTTGCTGCATAACTCTCATCAATGAAAAACATGGCTGCAGCAGACATGATGGCGCCAACGAAAGCAGACTGCCAGCTGAAGAACTTGAAACCCGGTCTAAAATTGGGGGCAGATCCGATTTTCAGTAAGAAACAGGCTAGATTCATAACGAAGAACGTCATCTGTCCGGAATTAGTGCTCGACGTGCTTTCAGCAGATATTGACAGTAAACTTGCCTGATAGCCCATAGAGATCAAGGTGGCGATCTGATTCAGGTTGGCAAACAGAGCCAACTGGGCAAGGATATAAGTCAAGAAGATGGCAAGGATTGGCTCATCAGCTTTCTTGGTACCCTGGGCAAAAACAGACAAGCCTGGGAACAGCTTATCCCTTGCCAATGCCTGCATCAACTTAGCAGCCCCAATGACCCCCATTAGCGCAGAGAAGAATGTGGTTGCGCATTCGCCAGCTAGAATTGTCGGCGCCCATAAGTTCGTGTCTTGGATGATGTTCCTGTTATGCAGCAAAGATGCATGCGTCGTTGTGGATGCCATAGAAAGAATCACTAGGAGGTACGCAACGAAGGTCGACAGCATGGCCCATAGAGTGCCTCTGGGGATGGATTTGCTAGGATCTTTGAGATCTCCAGACATCGAAGCACCAGCAAAAATACCTGAGGTTGCGGGAAACAGAATCCCAAATAGCTTTCGAAAAGTCTCTACGCCCTCGAACTCTCGCCCTGAACGGTGTGGCAGCAGGTTGGACCTCAGTGTTGCCATGCTGACACCGGTGAACTCGATTCCCAGGTGTGGATCTTCGAAAGGCTGCCGGAACAATGCGGAGAACGGGATGCTCAAGATAGCTGCAGTGAGGATTACGAGAAGGGCATTGCTCGCCTTTGCAAAGATGCTGCTCCCTGCTAGGCATAAGATGGTGCAGACGACAAGAGCAGATGTCTCAAAAAGGTAATTCCACCAGTACCCGATCGGCATCATAGCTCCAAAGTTCAGTTTCAAGCAGTCGATGAGACCAACAACGTTGAGTGCAGTGTTCAAGACCTGTGCCAGGTAGAAGAGGAGACCGATAGAGCCTCCGAATTCCGGACCTAGAGATCGAGAGATCAGGTAATAGGCACCACCCCCTTTTACCTCGCCATTGGAGGCGACAGCTGATAGAGAGAGCGTGGTCACAAAGTCAACGAGATAGGCGATGACGAGCAGTCCTGATAATAGTCAAATGTGAGGAATCCTGTTTCATGAATACAAATGAGGTGGATTTTCACCTACCTAGCATACCCAGTAGTCCGACTTGGGCTAGAATGAGGCCGAATCTGAGGAACATCAAAATGCTGAGGATATTCAGGCATACTGGGATATAGACACCAGATACGATCCCCAACTTGTTCTTTTTCAGATGTGACTCCATCTTGCCTGGACTGCTTGCCCGTGTCACCTAAATTCGGTTGGACACTCGTCTGCTATGCGAGTCCTCTGTTTGGGTCGCTATGTGCTTATACTCATCCACCGCAACGAGAGACCCCGTCCCCTTCTTGCATCCTTGGGTGGATCCTGCGAGCTTTTTCGGTGATTGTTTACTTTATGGAATAATGACAGATTAGAAAATGAACAGGACAGCTTGTCGGCCGTTCTAGACTTGGGGGCAGCACGGAAAAGCTGGTCTTGGTAGTCGAAGTGGTTTGCTGGACAGAAAGAAGATCCGTGATCGACAATCGATAAGCGACAAGCACGCAAATCCCCTAAGCTGGGAAGGAAGCCTATGGCGGCAGCTGCGGCTCCTGCTTTAGAATCTTGAACCCCCTCAAAACCACCCACTTCCAGGCTTAGAGCCCTCAAAGTGAAATGATCTACTCACTAAAAGCTTCTCTAATCTACAGAAACTTGATTACTCTAATGACAGTATTATCCCTATCGCAAATTGGCCAATTGGTACATCATGAAAACCCGTAGTGCGAAGTTGACTGCAAAAATGAGGCTGTCCACCGAGCAACGGTCCGGTCGCCGTTTCAGTGCACCGACGTCATTTGCTGCAATGCGGGGTGAGTGCCGAGAGTGCGTGCCCATGTGCATGGTCCGGCCACACTGGCCTGAGACGAGGCAAGGTCGGCGGACCGGCAATCCAGCAGGTGCGTTTTAAGACATCGGATTGCGTATAGCGTCTGGATGCCACTAGGACGTTTTGCATTCCTCACATCTCGCCAATACACAGCCGAGCAGAGAGATACTTTGAAGAGAGCGAAGAAGACGTGGACGACATACTACGTAAATGAGCCGAGTTACGTTAATCAATGGGAAACGGAACCATCGCATTCTGCACTGGAAGGTCGGTCATTGAGGCGACATCATCAGTCTATTCGAGGTATGCTCTGCTAATCTTGCGAACACTCTGTTGTGGGAACAATATTTGTCTAAACATACAGTATTCTTCACTTTTACTGAAGAGAAGAGCTAAATAGAAGGACATTGAGTAATTAATGGATAGTAGGCCACAACTTCCTAGGTAGGTACCTAGTGAAAGATACGAAACGGGGGGGTTTTGCAATTCGAGATAGCCACATTCGATCTTGAAAGTGTCTAACCAACGTATCATAAGCTATCGAGATCCAGTTACATGTACAGCAGGCGGAAGCGGGGTGACTAAGCTTACCTTCTACGATGCGTCTGATTAGGCTGGCTGGCTGGCTAGCTGGATGGACCGGTCACGGGCTGCCTAGCGTGGGAATTACAGGGTCTAAGCTTTCGGCCTTCCAGCACACGATAGGCGCTGTGAAGTGCCCAGGTGGGAAGATGCAGCCTGTGGGGCGGTGGCTGAAGAGAGTCCCCTGCCCTCTCGGTGCGGCACGTTTTTGTGTGTGTGCGCGACGGGGATGCTAGACTAACGTTAGCAGCTGGCTGTTTGTGGGCGAGGGTGTCACCTGCCTTCTGCGGCATCTATTTCCCTTGTGTGTGTTGTTATCACGAGTCACCGTCACCGAGCGCACTAATTCGAGTCATATTCTCAAGCAACTACCGGTACCTCCTCCAGGTAGCTGTCTCTCTCCTTTCATTTCCTTTAATTGCCTCTACGAAGCTGTTTCGCTCTTCAGCACCCTGCAAAGGTCATTCCCTATTGCTCTCTGCGGCGACGCTCGACCTCGGACTCTCCCGCCTCCTCACCACTTCGTGAAGGATCGAACGACCGCCAGAGCTTCGATAAGCCGCATTGTGTGTCAGCATCGACATGCAGTAGCCTCCTTACATCGAATACCCAATTGCCATCAAAGTTCGAACCTATCTCCGTCGTCACGCAGCTTCCCAGTCCTAAACACAGCTTCGATCGACCTGTGAGCCACGACGCCACGAGCTGGGTGACCTTGAGCTGCTCGTCGGAAGCTTGTAAGTCGAATAGCTACAGCAATGTCGAATTCTGAACGAGACTCGCCGGCTCAACGGCCACTCGAGATCCCAGTGTCTTCCTCGTTAGGCTCCTTTCGAAGCCGTTCCATCAGCGCTTCAGTGCCTCGAGCCGATGCCACCGCCCGCTTGGCCTCTCCGGTTCCGACGTACGGAACGCCGCCTGTTGCAAGAGCTGGAACTCCTAGGACCGGTGAAGATGAAGTTTCCGGCACCGTGACTCCTCTCCCTGGGGCCACTGGCTCGAACGTCCCAGGGCCAGGCATCTCGGCCCTAGCTGCAGCACTATCCAATTCAATCGGATCATCGCCTCCTCGATTTGGCACGCCCCCAGTGCGAGCAATGTCGCCGAGCGCGACCAGCGTTCCACTCGCTCAGTCTTCGACTCCGACTAACTACGGCTCCTTCGACACAAGGTCGCAGCGATTCCTACAACCTGGCGCCAATGGCGCTTTCGAAGATCCCGAAATAGTCAAGAGACATTTGGTGCAACCCTCTGATGCTATGTCTGACGATTCAGGTCGGAGGAGGGCAAGCGATTCAGGGAAAGGCAAGCAGCCGGATGTCGCCAGTGGCGGGCTAGATGACGAGGAATTCTCCAGTCTACGTCTACAGGGAGGAGATATCACCAGGCCAATTTACAAATGGGCTGAGGAGGCCACAAATAAGGTCAAGAGAAGCCAGAGCTTCAGTGACCCTCGCCCCGAACCCGAGACAGAAGTCCTGGACATCAACACAATCAAGGTCCCTGGTGGATTTCGGCGCAACTTCCTCCGACGGGCAGCGAGGAGCCCATCGGCTGATCCCGATTATGACGACTATGGCGAAAGCGGTAGGAGAGGTACACAACAGGTCGGAACGGTGTTCACCTCTAGCTTCCTCGAATTTCTTAGCATCTATGGACATTTCGCTGGAGAAGAATTGGAAGAGGATGACGAAGACCTCAAGCCTGGCGAATACTTTGGATCAAGCGACGAGTACGAGTACGAGAGTGTGGAAGGCTCAGAAGACGAGAGAGAACCAATGGAGGACAGTACTCTTCTCACGCCGTCGCGGAGACGGAGACGCAAGGTCCGTGGCGGCAGCGGGAAAGCCAGCCCGACCAGTGCTGCTCTCGTGCTACTCAAATCGTTCGTCGGTACCGGTGTTCTGTTCCTGCCGCGGGCGTACCTTAACGGTGGCATGGTATTCAGCAACCTCGTCCTCCTCTTCGTAGCGGCACTGAGCTATTACTGCTTCGTGCTGCTCGTGACCTCGCGTCTCAAAATTGACGGATCATTCGGAGACATTGGCGGCATATTGTACGGCAATTGGCTGAGGAAAACAATTCTGTTCTCTATCGTGATCAGTCAAATAGGATTCGTGGCGGCATATATCGTTTTCACTTCTGAAAATCTTCAGGCATTCATCCTCGCCGTTTCCGATTGCAAGACGGTCATTGAGATAAGATGGCTTATTCTCATGCAAATGATCATCTTTCTGCCCTTCTCCTTATTCAGGGACATCAACAAGCTCAGTTTCACAGCATTCATTGCCGATGTCTTCATCGTTGTCGGATTGGCATATCTCTTCTATTACGACATTCTGACACTGGATACGTATGGATTGGGTGATATTACACTTTTCAACAAGAGAGACTGGACATTGTTCATCGGAACAGCCATCTTCACGTTTGAGGGTATTGGGCTCATCATTCCTATTCAGGAATCGATGGCTGACCCGAGGAAGTTCCCGAAGGTGTTGTTCATTGTCATGATCATCATTACTACTCTATTCACGGTCATGGGTGCTGTATCATATGCCGCCTACGGGTCAAAGACGGAGACGGTTGTCCTCCTTAACTTGCCTCAGGACAGTAAGATGGTTAACACTGTCCAGTTCCTCTACTCTATCGCCATCATGCTCTCCACGCCGCTGCAGATCTTCCCAGCGATACGTATCATGGAGAATGGCTTATTCACTCGCAGTGGGAAGTACAACCCCTATATCAAGTGGCAGAAGAATGTGTTCCGTTTCGCTACGGTTGCCGTGTGCGCAATCATTGCATGGGGTGGCGCCGATGATCTTGACAAGTTCGTGGCTTTGGTTGGCAACTTTGCCTGTATCCCGCTTGTCTACATCTACCCAGTAAGTTCTGCTCCTTAATCCAATATCCATCGTCGATGCTAATGAACATGATAGCCTATGCTCCACTACAAGGCCGTGGCAAAGACGAGATTCTGGAAGATCTCCGACATCTGCCTCTGCATATTCGGATTCATCGCAATGGCGTACACAACAAGTCTAACAGTGATGAGCTGGGCCAGTGGCTCCACAGAGCCTCCGCTACCTGGATATTGTGACTCGAAGAAGCTGTAAGATATGAGGACGAGACTGCAGTCTAATCATAAGGCATTTTCTATGTTTTATATATGGGATATGGAAGCATCATTCACACTTCGAGAGATTGGATAGAGATATTTTGCATAAGAGGAGTGACTGAGCGTGGACGGACAGGATAGATAGATGTAGACAGTTGCGACAGAGGCTCAACGCCTCAAGTACCTTAGGCATAAATTGTGTACAGCATTTTACCTATTGTTGTCTTCAGGCAGTCTTTGTTGTGTCGCTGATAGTAGCTTAAGTGAAGTCCAATGCGGAAGAGCGCTAGAGGTCAATGTGGGGGCAGAATGATCGGACCAGACCCCGCTAAAGCCAGGTACGGCAGCAGTGAATGAGCCTCTTTGACCCCCGCCACCGTGGGTTCCTATCACTGGATCCGTTGTGCCTAAATATTTCGTAGACTTCAACCTTCGTTGATTCTCACATCTCGACAAGGAACGCAGATTTTCCGCAGCCTCATCGTCGATCCTGGATATTAGCTGTCGTTTACCGTCAGGCCCGTGCTGCAGATTTTGTATCCTGTTTTTGAGGGTGTTCCTTGTCTCTTCTTGGACAAAATGAACGCTCCCGACCGGTGAGTACGAGTTTCCCATTGTTTGCCGCAACCCTTGAACTTTGAAGCTATCGCCATCACCACATGGCTTCACACATATCGAGAGCACCATTCACTTCACCATTTGGTCTTTAGCAAACGGAAATGGGCAGATTCAGTCGTTCGAAAAGTCAACCTAGGTGGCTTAGTGGCCAAACGCTGGCTTGAGATCGAGTTGGTCTGGGAGCATGAGATATGCCCAAGTTTTCAAGAGAGTGGACAGCACCTTGACAGTCATCTGGATGGCTTGAAAGCAGAGGAGGAAGAGGTCACCGAGTCACGGATCGTGCCTACCTAAAGCTGTCAAGACTCGACTCACCGTTGGGACACCAGTCACTCTCAGGCTCTCCCAATATCCTCATCTCCCACCTGTACCTTCTCCATCTCCATCCCCTTCTCTTTTTTCCCATCCTCATCCACGTCCGCTTTACTACTCCCACCTTTCACTCCTTCCCGTTTCCTCTCCAAGTTCTACATATCATCACCAAAACACCCCTTGGACAATTTCCAAGATGTCTAACCAGAGACATTACAACGAGCGCGACCAGTTGAGCTTCATCTCGAAACAAGCCGTCTGTGATACGAAACTGACTTTCATTTAGCTTCGAGCTCTTCTTGCTCTCCGATGGCGAGAAGAAGATCACCGAGGAGCCGTTCTCCGGTGAGTACACATAGGACCTCTTTAAAACTCCGGTCAAAACATCCTCGCTAACGCACGGGTAGGCATGTCCAACTGCTCCGACTTCACCTTGAAGAAGGAGGACCACACCCTCGGCAACCTCCTCTCCGAGCACCTGAAGCAGCACCCTCATGTCCTGATGGCCGGATACAAGAGTACGTGACCATCGCTTTGCTGTTGCCTAGCGGGGTTTACTTGAATACTATACTAATTTACAAATCTAAAAGTCGCTCACCCTAATGTGCCTGAGCTGTTCATCCGCGTCCAGACCGACGGCGCCATCGCCCCCAAGGAGGCGCTGATCGAGGTCTGCAAGCAGCTGGTTGCCGCGTACGGCCAGCTCGGCCGCGAGTTCACTCGCGAGTACGAGCTGCGTCGCATGGTCGCCGCCGGCGAGCAGAACAATGGTCACCCCAACGGCCAGTGAGCTGTATTTACGATGCTGGATCCGATATACCCCCAGGGGATGTGTGCAGGAATGGTTTCGGCGTTACGGTTTGCTGGGGTCACCAAAAACCATGGATTGGCTTGCTTTTTACATTGAGGGAGGATGAGATGGCGTTCGGTCATCGTTTGAGGTGTGGACTAGACGATATGCACTCATGGCCATTGAGTTTTGCTAGACTAGGTCTATAAACTGATCTCACTCCATTTTCCCTTCCGTACCAAGCAGTTTTGGGCTGTTATCTGTGATACTAAGCCATTCAAGTTCCGTATGGTAGGGCCTTTCCAAGGGTATCATTCCTTTAAGCTGGGAGGGTGCTTTATGTGCAACCATCTCCGACTAGCCAATGTATCATCCCGCATAGAGATTCATAAGCCGATCTAAATCCACTTCCAACTACAATGCGAGTCATCATGATTGAGCCACTGGTCCTTCACCTCCGGGGATCAGCTAGTAGAGCCGGTCAGCATACTACTCCATAGGCTTCTGAGGGGTGTCATACCATGCAGATGTTGTTGCCGTTCAGAAGAATCTTGGCGAGCTTGGTGTGGTTCCCTGAGTAATCACTGTAACATGATTAGATTTGATTGCACTCCAGATACGGAGAAACGAGGTGAGCATACAATTCTGTGACGTCTTCGAGGACCATGTCTGCGAGCAATGTTAGCCTCATGAGACATTTCCGCTTTATCAAGGTGAATGAAGCATTACTTACTGACGTAGTCATCGAAGCCAAGAAGAGTACCGCTGAATTCTGCTCATTATCAGTCATTGCAACTCCTGAGTGGCCCAAGGCGTGAGATTCTGTACCCTTGTCGCCCTTCATGATGACCCATATCCTGGAGCCGACGCACTTGTCGATGAGCTCTGTGCCTTGCGTTAGTCCTCAGAGCTGCATGACTGACCCATTGAACTTACCCAACGGCAGCAGTTGAGACGCCATGATTGAAGATTATCCGCGGACCAGGTTGTGCGGCGTAGAAGTATGCCCTGAAAGATGTCGCTGGTTGAGGTTCAGTGCTTTGAATCGCCAAGAGAGGGCCTCGGACTAGTTCTGATTTGCTGGGTGTGGCTTGATCTCCAGAAGAGCAGGTGTGGCTTGCGCTGCCGAATGGGCGAGCGATCTCAGGTGACTTCGCGTTAGCGCATCATTGACCAACCACTACAGGTACACTGTCGCCTACCTACCGCGGCGCTGTACACTCACTCGCTCAGGGAACCCCAACCTCTATGCGACCACCATCACGACCACCCCGGCGCGTCTGCCTGTTGTTAGCCGCCTGCGTTGCCTACTGATGGAATATGTCCTTGGGGCAGCATGGCGCATTTGCCTGGAATAAGCAATGTCTTTCCCGGATGCCAATGAGCGTGATTCACCGCTGGGCATCCCCGCGTTATATATCAGGGTGTTCACGCCTCTCTCGTCGGCGGCGGTATTTGTACGATCTGCCCCCCCCCCCCCCCC